CTGCCCTGGGTGCCCATCCTGCCTCTCATCGGCGGGGCGGCCCGGCCCGCATCCTCCGCCCGCCAGCCTCGGGCTGCGGCCTCTGCCCCGCCGCCGCTCACCGCCGGCCGCGCATCTTCCGCCGGGGCCGCGCTGGGACCTGCGGCGGAGGAGGAGGAGGAGGAGGAGAAGAAGGCGGAGGAAGGGCCCGACCCGACCCGGCCCGGCCCCGCAGCGCCCACGCCGCTGACACGGCTCCGCTCCGCCTTCCCACTCGCACAAAGCGCCGCCGCCCCGCCGGGCCCCGAGCCCGCTCCGCCCCGCCGGGCCGCAGCACCGCGCCAGGGCAGCCCCAGCTCCGGTCCCGCCACCCACCTCACCGGGCAGGGCCGCCCCCGCCTCACGGACCCAACGCGTCCGCCCGAGCCCGGGAGGCGCCTCGGGCCCGCTCCCGCCGCTCCCATAGGCTAAACAGTGCGTCAATCAGAGATAGCCCCGCCTCCTCCACAAATACGACGCGTCCATAGGCTGAGTTACATGTCAATCAGAATCGCCCCGCCCCGCCCCTGAGAACGCCAGCGGACGGCTGGGACTACAGTTCCCGGCGTGCCTTGCGGGAAGTGGGGCATGATGGGATAGCGAGTCGGGCGGGGGAGCACCCGCTGTGGGGAGAGGCACCCGGGACCGGGACCGGGATTGGGAACCGGGATTGGGAACCGGGATTGGGGAACCGGGACCGGGACCGGGACCGGGATTGGGGACCGGGATTGGGATTGGGGAACCGGGATTGGGGAACCGGGACCGGGATTTGGGAAACCGGGACCGGGATTGGGGACCGGGATTGGGGAACCGGGACCGGGATTGGGGAACCGGGATTGGGGACCGGGACCGGGAACCGGGATTGGGGAACCGGGACTGGGATTGGGGAACCGGGATTGGGGAACAGGGATTGGGGACCGGGACCAGGGACCGGGATTGGGGAACCGGGATTGGGGACCGGGATTGGGGAACCGGGACCGGGATTGGGGACCGGGATTGGGGAACCGGGATTGGGGAACTGGGATTGGGGACCGGGACCGGGGACCGGGACCGGGGACCGGGATTGGGGAACATCCGTGCGTGCGGGGCACCCAGGGGTCATCCAGGACTGGGGGGACATCCAGATATGAGCTCAGCATCCAGATGGGAGGTGCACGTAGCTGGGGGGCATCCAGATGTGTGGGGCATCCCAGCAGAGGCGGCCCCCAGGATTCGGGACATCCAGGTGTGAGAGAAGTCCAGGTGGGTGGGTACGTGGGAGGGAGGGAGGGCATACAGGAGTCCTCCTCTAGATCTGGGGTGGGCATCCAAAAAGAGGGGCACCTACAATTTGGGGGCATCCAGGTGGGAGATCATCCATTTCATGGCAGGCAGCGGGTTTTTGGGGTGGGAAGTGTGTGCACTCCATTGGTGGTGGGGCATGTTCCCAGGGAGTGGGGACAGCAGTGGGGCTGTGGGTGCCAGGCTGAGCCTGTAGCCAGGACTCCTGGATGTTCTCACTGGAATCCCTTGGCACTGGCCTGACATCGCTGAGGAACCACTCCCAAACCCAATCACAGGGGATTCCCAATGGGAAGGTGTGGGGGATCCCTGCTGTCATTGCTGACAAATAAATCCCTGTGCTGCACAAAGCATCTTGCTCATCTTTCCAGAGCTGGGCACTCCATCCATGCTCCCAGCCTCCAGCTTCCAGTGAATCCCGTTTCGATGAGCCATGTTCCCAGCCCTGCCAGCAGCACAGATGTCCCTCAGCCTGCTGGGGTCCTGTGGCTCCCCGGCTCCTCGGGGAGCTCTGCTGGCTGCTGGTGCCAGAGAGCCCTGGGAAGGACTGGAGGGCAGGGCAGGGTCACCCATGGATGGAGAGGGGAGGGAATGGATTGAAGGGGGATGTTTTTATAGGGTCACAAAATGGTTTGTGTTGGAGGGGACCTCAAAGACCACCCAGTCCCACCCCTACCATGGGCAGGGACACCTTCCACCATCCCAGGCTGCTCCAAACCAGCCCTGCATTCTTCCAGGGATCCAGGGACAGCCACAGCTGCTCTGGGCACCCTCTGCCACTCCCAGGGAACAATTCCTTCCCAATATCCCATCCATCCCTGCCCCCTGCCAATGGGAAGCCATTCCCTGTGTCCTGTCACCCTGGTCCTTGTCCCAAGTCTCTTTCCAGCTCTCCTGGAGCCCCTTTAGGCCCTGGAAGGGCTCTGAGGTGTGCCTGCTGACTTCTCCTCTCCAGGTGAGCACCCCCAGCTCTCCCAGCCTGGCTCCAGAGCAGAGGGGCTCCAGCCCTTGGGACATCTTCGTGGGCTCCCTGGACTTGCTCCAGAGTTGCTCCCTCCACACTCACGGGGAGGGGTCTGCCCCTCTTCGGTGGTCTCAGCCTGGCTCCCTCTCCTCTCCCACAGCCTGAGGGCTCGAGCTCCTGTGCTGCCCTGGAGCCACGAGCTGGGATCCCTTTAGGGGCCTCTTCTGGTGAGGGGTTTGTGTCCTATGGGCCAAGGGGATCCTCACCCTCAGCTGCTCCGTTTGGCTTCTCCACTGGCAGGGGCCAAACACAGCCCCCCTCTGTGCCCTCTCCCGGCTCCCATGGCTGCTGCCAAAGCACAGGGAGAGCCCTGACAGAGGAAAACAAAACAGTGGCTAAAGCAAACCCAAAGAGCACCTAAAGCAAACCCAAAGAGCACCTAAAGCAAACCCAAAGAGCACCTAAAGCAAACCCAAAGAGCAGATGTCCTCCTGCAGCCACTGCTGTCCCTGGCCGCTGCATTCCCAGGGCAGAGGGGCTTGGAGGTAAAGCCTGTGGAGAAACATCCCCTCCAGGGCACAGGGGAAGGGAGAGGGGGGACCTGAGGATGTTTGTTTTCCCCAGGAGAGGAGAAAAGCCTCATTTCTGTCCAACAGTCCAATGGATCTAAAGCAGTGCAAGTGGACAGGAGGAGGATGGGCAGGAATCTCCTCAATTTTATCTCTCAGCCTCTGGGTCTCAGTCCTGCCACTCCACAGGACCAGCTAAAGTCCTGTCCATGGCTCACTCATTCCAGGGATTTCTCTTGTCTTTGGTGGGATGGTGGAAACCAAACAGAGCCCAGACAGGTGGGAATTGGGGCGAGGGGGGCAATCCTGGTAGAGGCTCCTGGCAGAGGGGTGATCTTGGCAGGGACTTGCTGCAATGTGGGGAATTAGTCACAGCCGTGCATTCAGCTGGAAAAGGGAAAAGGAGAAAGGAATGGAATTCAAGGGAGTGACTGCTCTGCTGTGAGGAGGGAAGGAGTGGCCAGAAGGACTCATCATTCCCAGGCTCAGCTTGGGCTCCTGCTCGGATTGTGCTGTGCTGCAGAGGATTGTCCCCTGTCCTGCCCCCTCACACTGAACACACCACATGGGCAGGCTCGTGTGACACCAAGGAACCCCTCTCTGGATCACAGGGACACCCAGAGCTGGAGGAGCATCACTCCAACCGTCTCCCAGGCCTGAGGTGGCATTCATTGGATCCTCCTTGCACAAGCTTTGTGGTTTGGCCTTGGCAGAACAATTACAGCTGGACAAATGCTGAAATACCCCTGTGTGTGAGAGCAGAGGTTTGGGAACTGCCCAGCCAGGCCCTGGGATGGGGGTGAACAGCCTGCCTGGATCAGCTGAGCCTCTAGCAGCCCCTCTGCCCCATCCCTGTGCTGCTGACAGCCACACTGTGCTCAGCAGCAAGTCAAACTAGAGGTAAGGGCTGGATTTTCCTCCCAACATCTTTATTCTGGAGTAATCAAAATCCATTTAAGGTTTGATTAAAAGGTTGACTTAACCAATAAAACCTGTAATTAGAACAAAGCTCTCCATCTCTGAACTTCACACAAGCACTGGAATGAATGTGCAGCATCCCTCATCCCTGCTGCAACTGGCTTTGCTGGCATTGTTACTGCCCTGCCCAGCACTCCTGCCTGCAGAACTGCAGCTGTGATGAGCCTGAAGCCAGTGTGGTTCCTGAGCAGGGCTTGTTCCTGGACTGCTGCATGGGACTGGCCTGTGTTTCACATCACCAACCTGTGTTTCCCATCAGGGCTGCAGTGGGAAGGAAGTCACCTTCAGCTGGGGCTAGTGGTGACATTTAAAACAAACACTGTGTCACTGTGTGGGAGCACTTTGCTCCTGCTGAACGCCTGGTGGCTCACGTGAGGGAAGGAGAAATGCACAGTAGGTTTTAACTTCCTTGCCAAACCTCACTCACAAACACTCACACACTTTTAATGAAACTCTCAATGAGTCAGTGCTCTTTTATAATACTTTACTCAAAACCAGAAAACACTGCGAGGAGGATTGATTAGAAGAACTGTCACATTCTCATGAACCTCCCCAGTTCCAGATGTTAAATAACAGTGGATGGCAGAGGAGCTGCAGTCTGTCCCTGCCCCGAGCTGGGCCTGGGTTCTGCAGCTTCCCCCAGACACTTCCACTGCTCCCAGCCCCAGTACCTGCCTGGGAATGCAGGGGCATGTTCTGTCACCTGCAGCACTCACCAGTGTAGGAACACTCCTCATATTAACCTGCTGAGATGGTAAAGGGGGACTCTGAGCATTCCTGGTTTGAGGCCCAGGCGTGGATAAGGGCTGGAGCCAAAGGCAACAGACTCTTGCAGCAACTCCCAATGCAAAATGGTGAGCCAGAGGCAAAGGTGGTGAGCACTCTGTTCTCATCCAGAAGGCAGATCAGCTGCTCACATGGGGCTTGGGTTGCTCTGAACAAGTTTATCCTGCACCCAAACTCCCAATCCAGCTGGGAAGCCATGTGGAAGATCGGCTGAGATCCAGACCTGTCCCCTCTGTATGCACAGCACAATCTAGGCTGTTCCCTAACCCTGCAGACCTGGACACTGCCAGGTTTGGGGTTCTGCTGCTCAAGCCCCCAGAGCTCCCACTGTGAGCTCAGCACAGGCAGGAATGTGACTGCAGAGAAAGGGCTCTCGGCTACCAAGTCCAGAAAAGGACCAAGGAACGGATAAGGGATCCGAGTCAATGCACAGGCACCCCCCTAACCAAGGCTTTAGCCCCCAAAAGGCAAAGGGGCTGCTGAGCAGTGCCTGAAGAGGAGGAACAGGAACAGAGATGACATGGGACTGCTAATGTTCACATTCACTGAGGCAATCTGAGTTACGGCGTTGCTGAGCTCTGCACAACACAAGGACGAGGGACATGAACTGAAACACATCAAACCCTGCCTGAGAGCAGAGAACACCTTTTCACTGCAGGGGTGATCAACCACTGGCACAGGTTGTCCAGGGAGGGGTTGGAGTTGCCATCCTTGGAGATATCCCAAAGTTATCTGGACACGATCCTGGGCAACCAGCCTTGGGTGACCCTGCATGAGCAGGAGCTGGACCAGACGATCACAACCTCCACCAGTTTCCTGTGATGGTGTCACCAGCAGGTCTAAGCACAAAGGGTAAATCACTGAGGGCTAGAGTTAAGGAAAAAGATGGTGCTGGAGCAGCAGGAAGAGGCAGCACAGCGCAGAAGGAAAGCAGCTCGTTCTCTGCAGGGTGAAATGCAGATTTTCCTGCCTTTCACTACTGTACATTTGGGCAAGAGTCTTTGTGTGGGCCTGAACAGTGCACAGGTCAGCTGCAGCATCAGGGAAAACTCCCAAACCCATAACCAGTGCCTTCAGTGCACTGTAATTACTGAGGTTTCCTTTCAGCATTGTCACATGTTGTCCTGGTTAGGGGAAGAAAGTATTTCTCCAAGGCAGAATTTCTCTCTAGCATAGAGTTTTTCACACAGTGAATCACATTTTCCTTCACAAACCCCCTGCCTAAGTAAAGAGGGGGTTTGTGGCAGCACTGGGAACCAAAAGGTGGGAGGAAATAATAATAGGGAAATGCAGTATTTAAAAGAGTCTGTAAGACTAAAGTCTTTGACTGATGGCTGGCAAAGCCTGTGTGCTGCCTGCTATAAGGGGTGTGTGGTAGGAATGGGTGATCTGGAATTTTGAACTACTTCTCATCCAAGGGCTGCTCTGGATAATATGGATCTGAGAATAAATCAGAGCCAGAGCCTTACCAGCAGCCTCTTCCCTGAGGAAATGCCAGCACTGGGCCAGTCTGTGCTGCTGTGGAAGATGAGGCTGATCCCAACTTCTAATTAGAGAGATGACATAAGGTCAAGTGCTCTTGAGCAGGATGTCTGCTACACTGTTGTAATGTCTCTGCACAGAGTCGGAAAAGGGTGGGGGAAGACTCTTTCACAGCAGGGACTGGAAAGGAAGAGGAGAGACGTGGCAAACATCCAGCAGAAGCAACTCAGATGCTCAGATACCACTGCAGGCAAGGAGAACACCCAGTGCAAGGAGCAGAGAGGCAGCTCAGGCACCAGCTCTGGGTGACACAGAACTGCAGCCACCAGGAGCTGACACTGCCCAGCTGGGCTGCTCAAGGTTCTCCGTTGCAGAAGACTCAGGATCTCAGGTTTGAGGAGGAGCTTTTTTTGGTTTGGTATTTCCCCACCCCAGAGTCAGTATCAGCCCTTAGTAAACAAACCCAACACTGGAACATCTGATAAATCTGGCAGGTTCCCAATAGGTCAGAGTTGCTGATTTTCATGGCTCTGTGCTGTTGCTGAGGCTATCACGGCATTTGAACCCAAAGTACCACGATTAGGACCATCATGAACTGTCTGGTCCCACAGAAAGATTTTAAAAGCCAGGATATTAGAAACATTACTTTCACAAGAACAAAAATAACAAAGTTTCTCACAGCAGTCAGCAAACTGAACTGTGCAGGTGTGGGAGGAACCAGGAGATATCATTTAGGAGCTCCACGGGAAAGATAAGAGGGAGGTAAGGTGTAAACCTGCTCTGCTCAGTGCCAGGTGAGGATGGGGCTCATGACTCTGACTTCAGCTGAAGTGAAAATGTTATTTAGACCATTCATCCACTAAATGCATCAGAGTCTGCAGTTATTCCCACCTGGAGTGCAGAGATTTCCTCAGGTAGTGCTTGTTCCAAGACAAGAAGACGCTTCACAGGAGTTTTAAGCATGGATCATCAATGAACAAGCTCTCTGCAGTTTCTGCAGGCAGGGATGTCCCAGTCAGAGCCTGCAGTGGCAGATGGTGAGGGGAGCTTTGCCACACTGGTTTTCCCCAGTGATTTGCCCTGGCTCAAGGTGACAGGGCATAATGTAGTGCCCATGTAGTCCTGCCTCCCTCACACGTCTCTAAGAAACTCAAAGACCTTGGAGCTTTGCCTGCTAAGGAATGTCTGGATCATGCACCTTCCTGCAGAGCTTCTTTTTCTCCTGCTCACGCTGTGCCTGTCGAGGCAGTGACTGCACAATGAGGGGCTTTTAGCAGCTCCAGACAACCCAAACACATCTGGCCAGGGACGTCCTAAAGCAGCAGGGGCTTAATCCTTCTCTTCTGTGACAGCTGCCAGCACATGGATGAGCCACAGGGCTGGGGTAGGAAACTCTGACCCTCTAGCTGGCAGGGCTGACTGAAGGCTCCTGAAGCCCCAGAGCACCTTGCCCTGCCAATGCCCACTGGAATACAGAGGCAGCCATCCAGAGAAGGGCTGGGCATTGCAGCCACTGCACCTTCTCCTCTTCCTCCTCCATCCTTGGTTCCTTGGCCAGCCAGGGGAAAAGGGAACGGATCCAGCACAGCCCTCACCTGCCAGTGCAAAAAGCAGGATACAGTGACATTGACTCCTTGATTGAGCTGGGGCAGAGGAATGAGCAGAGCTCGAAGGAGTGTACTTTGGGTATGGCCTGTATTTAAATTTGACACAACCACTGCATGCCTAGTGAGACATCCTCCAGTGCACAGGCACCCCTTCCAAGAGAGAGAATAGGAGACACATCAAAATGTGACCAGGACATGGAAAGCCAAGCACTCATGCACTTTGGAAATGTATCCAAGGCAAACAACTCTCCTAAGAGAAATCACAGAATCGTGATAAAACAGTCTGTGCTTCTAGGCTCTAGGCTTGCTCTTACACCACCTCCTCTGGTGCTGCAGTGAGGGTGAGTGCAAGCCCTCCTCAAAAGAAATTAATAGACAGCCCATGAACTCGACACCCAGCTGTTCAGTTTTCAGTGTAGGACTCCATGAGCTGATTCTCCACATGGTTTTGATCAGCTGGCTTGAAGGCTGAAGCATAAAAGGTCCAAAACATGCTCTGGCTGAAGGCACCACAGCACTGTGGCTCTGAACCACCTGAGGGGCTGATTTGCTATGGCCCTGTGATCTGGGAGGAGAAATTCATCACCATTCATCCTTTCTGTGACATGGAAGGAGAAATTAATCACCAAACCATTTGGGAGATGCTCCTGACACTGAGCGCTGGTTTCATGAGGCACTGACATGGTTTAACTTCTTGCTTCCAAAATAATCATTAGCATAATATACAAACACAGTGTAGGGGAAGAGAAAGTTGAAAAATAATGTTTAAAAATACTTGCCTTTAAAAATTTAGCCCTTCCTATGTAAAGGGATGGAGCAGTTGCTGGCTCTGAGCAGCCTTTGGTCCCAAAGCATTAGGAGTCACTATGTTTTTCAGGTCAAGTTCCTAAATTCTTTCACTGTCTTTAGTTCTGCTTGTCTCCTTTGTGTTTCCAAGGGTAGATGAGCTCTCCAAGGAACAGTTTCTTGCAGAGAGATGCCCAAGAGTCCCTGGGATAGCAGCTGTAGGTGGGCAGTCTGTACGTCTGAACCACACGTCCGTAGGAGAGGGGGTTGATCTGTGTGGAGAAAGAGGGACAGCAGCAAGGGAAGCATCAGTCCTGCTCCTCACACAGCATCAGAATCCCTCCCTGGTTTGCTGAGGCTGTTAATCCTTCTTCAACATCCCCCAACATGAACAAATTGAGCTTGGCAAGGGGTGTTACCAGAATCATTCCCAAGCAGAGGGGCAGACAAGAACCAGCAGGAGAGCTGGGGGAATGAGAGGGGAGTGTGTTACACTCCAGAGTGGAGGACACAGCAGCTGAAGAGACAGCAGACAGCAACAGAATCACAGAGTCATGGAATTTTTTAGTTTGGAAAAGACCTTTAAGATCATTGAGTCCAACCCTTAACCCAGCACTGCCAAAGCCACCACTAACCCATGCCCCAAATGCCACATCCACACTGCTTGTGAACATCTCCAGGGATGGTGATTCCACCACCGCTCTGGGCAGCAGTGCCAGCATCTCACCACCCTTCTGTGAAGAAATGTTTCCTAATATCCAATTTAAATCTACATCTAGTGCTGCACTGGGAATGTACTGGGACCCCAGGAACTCCTCTGGAATAGACCAGTTTAGCTGTACCTGCTACGAGCCCTCAGCCCACAGCTGTGTGTTAAGTTAAACCTGGTATCACCTGAAACCACCCAATGGAACCAAGTCCTAGCATGACAAGATCACACCACAGAGCTCCTCATTACCATTTTCAATTAAGTCTCCTTGGCTGAGTTAGTCTTTTTAAATTTGATTTCAATCACCACCCCAAGTCTGTGCCTACAAAAGTTCTGCTCATGGTCCCCAGTTGCTGCATTGACCTTTTTAAGACAGGGATGTGAACAGACACATTTACTGTACAAGGGGTGACAGAAGCATGTCAGACCTTGGAAATGCTCATCCAAGTGAAGCATTCAGGGTAGGGGGACAGGTGAAGTCCACAAGATGGATCCAGTGTGGCCAAGACCTGATGCATGAAAAGGACGCACAGCCCAGCCTCCAAAGGACCAAAAAAGATGGCACAGAAATGGTGGGGCTCAGAGCACAGACCATGAGAGATCCCAGGGGTGGGGACTTACAGAGGCAGGGGAAGCTTGGTCAGTGGACAGAAATGGAAGGACATCCTTCTCTAGTAAAAGGGTTCAGTTCTGCTGGAACCAAGCAGGCAGCTCTGGGAAAGGAGACTGTAATTCACAGCACAGAGTCCAGCCACAAAAGGAAAGAGAGACAGCAAACCCATGCACAGAGTCACTACTTGGTTAAAGCAGAATATTTTTTTTGTCCACTAACTGCTTGGAGCTCATGGAGGGGTGAGGGATGAACCCCTAATGCCTACAGAAATGGAGCTCTTGGAAAGCAGGGTTGAGCTAAGAGTTCATTAGAACTAATCCTAGAGATCTTTGTCAAATAAGTTTCAAAGTACAAGATTGCTCAAGCAGAAGGGGGAAATATCTATACACAGAAGCACCCATAGGAAGTTCAGGAAAAAGGCCAAGGCAGCTGCTTGCAGGGAAAATTATAAAATAGAATAAATGTGGCGGGGGGGAGAAAGGCCAAAGAAACCTATCCCCAGCACTAACAACTGTAAAACCTGTGTAACTCATTTCTGTCCATTTCATCAGCTGTAGGCAAAGCAGAGTGTCTGAAGTGCAAACATGCTGGGGGAGGAGGACAGGAACTGCTGCTCTACAAGGGAGAGGCAGCATGTGCTCCTTTGGCTATTAGCTGTGTGGGCTGGAAGGTCTGCACAAACATTTCTTGTTGAGAAGCATCTCTGGGTGGAGTGGTGATACCCAGGGGTAGCACTGGCCACTGTAATAACCAGGGCTTCTTATACCCAGAGCAATTCACGTCCCTGCCTCTCCTGGTATAAATGGAAGCAAACAGGCAAAACTCATTATTAGTGAAGAGGCAATATTTGTTCCCCTTATGAAAGTTCTGTAGGTCAAAGATATAATAAACCCTGCTAGAATATCTATCCTAATGGAGCTGCTCCCTTTTCCCTTCCTCTTCTGCTTAACCCTTTCCAAAGCAATTGCTGCAGAAGATAAGACTTTCAGCAGAAGGTACATGAATGGATCAAACTCATAGTGATCTAGAATCCCAGAATCTCAGACTGTCTGGGTCAGAAGGAACCTTAAAGCCCATCTTGCTCCACCCCTGCCATGGGCAGGGACACTTCCCACTGTCCCAGGCTGCTCCAAGCCCTGCCCAGCCTGGCCTTGGACACTGCCAGGGATCCAGGGGCAGCCACAGCTGCTCTGGGCACCCTGTGGCAGGGCCTCAGCACCCTCACAGGGAAGTATTTGTTCCTCATACCTACTCCAGACCTGCTGTCCTTCAGTTTAAAGCCAGTTTTCTCCATGGGCTATCAGTTCTATTGAGCCACACTGCCAGAAAGATTTCTTCTTGTGCACGGAAAGAAATTACTTTAAACACTAATGAAAATACTGACCTATGTAAGACTTCCTGAAGAATAATAAGTAGCATTTGAAATGGAAATATCATCCCCCACCCTCTGCCCCCCCTCCAGGGTCTGGACTTTGCATTCCAGAGGCACTATCTTAAAAATCAAAAATAATCTCTTGGCTGAACCAGAAGCTGCTTGGGAATGCTCAAAGCTAACATTATTGATTTCTAATCCATTCGCAGTGCCCCACAGGACAGCTCAGACTATCACCTACAGCTGCAATTATTTTGGGTGTAGGTCCATGCATCCAGCCTGACTTCCACCAGGCACTGCTCTAAGAGGGCTTCCACTCAGAGAGAGGGAAAGCTACTGCAGATTCTCAAGAAAGGCACATCACTGTGTACAATAAATAAGAATTTCACTTAAAAATAGGTTTTTTTAGATTACCTTCTCCAAAAGCCTATCAGAAAGTGGGATATCCAGCACGGTTTCTGACACAAGCCCATTTTTCATTTCCACCAGCATAAAGAGAGCAAAAAAGTGCCTTTTCTGTCTGCTCATTATTATTGGAACAGAAGGCTGGGACAGACATCTACAGCAGCACTTCCAGCTCTTGAGGTGATGACTTGTGCTATATTCCAGATAGAAAATGGATCTTCCTGCAGTGGTCCAAGGAAAATTCATCACAGTCATATGACTCACTGCCTTTGCTCTTTAAGTCATGGTCTTTTTTCTCTGGAGACTCCATCCACCTCACCTCTCACACATACTGATGCCAAAGCCTCTGCTCAGCAGCTCCTATGCCTGGTTTCCTTTCTCTGGAATCTCCTGGCCACGGAGGATGGCAGATTTTGGTTCTTACACCACTATCCTACTAAAAGGCAGGAGCTGGGAAGACAGCTTGCTTACAGAATGCTAGTTTTGCCCTAGAAGACATCTGTAGAAGGGATTCCCTCTAGAATTGCTGTGAGCTGGTTTGCTGGTTCCCTGCTAGCCTGACCTTTGCTGAAATAGAGTGGGACTGGTGGTGACAAAAAGCAAAAGGACTGGGAAGCTGCAGTTAAATTCTTCCCACACACTCCCCCAGTGTCCAAGTGCTTTTATAAGTGTTATACACTACTGACAGCCTCTCCTCTTTAGGCTGCAGAGTGCAAGAAAAGCCTCCCTGGGACCTGGCTGTGTTTCTGCTGGGTCAGGAGATGGAAATTTCACTCCTGAAAGTATAAGGAGAACTTCCCTGCTGCCAACACCTCATTTCTTTTCAGAAGATAATTTCCTTTAGTATCGTTGATGCCAGAGCGTGGGAATGGGGGGTTACAAAAGCACTTTGCCCATACCCCTCACCAGGGCAATCCTGGAGAAAAGCAGGAGGCTCTTTCCTCTTTCATCTTGCCCAGGCTCTTGTCCTTGGCCTCATGGAGCAGCCAAGGCTTTCCAGCACCACTGGAGGGGAAGAGCTTTTCCTGCTGCTTCATTCTGGATGGTTTAAATGCCTTCTTTTGCTTCTCCTAGTGCTCAGCAATTATCACATGAAGCTGCACAGAGCCAGGAGGTGATAATGGCATGAGGTCTTAATCCCAGAAGTTACACAGCTCTGTGTTTTTCCTACTCCCCTTCTTCTACATTTCCCTTCACACCATCCAGGGCACTGCACTTCCTCCAAACACAGGACACAAGCAGGGCACCAAAAAGCACAGAAGGCAGTAGCCAGACACAGCAACATAAGATTATTTCCCTTGTTTCAGCATTTTACAGCTGTTAATGTTGAAGTGGAGCCTTTCAGTAGGAACAGCACAGACGGACTGGGGTCACTCTGGGGGAAGGCACGGGGGCCTTACCTGCATGAGGAGACGCAAAGGTTTTCCATCCTGCTGCTCAAGGACTCTGAACTTTACCCCAGCTGCAAAGACACAAAACAAGGAAAGCAAACACATGGTGGGATTGTTGGGGTGTCCTGTGCAAGGCCAGGAGTTGGACTTGATGATCCTTGTGGTCCTTTCCCACTCAGGATGTTCCATGGTTCAATGCCTGGAGCTCAGACCATGAATTTACTGCCCAGTGCTGTTAGCTGAGCACTGATTCCCTAGAAACTCTCTTCAACCTTTCTGGATTTGAGAACGTTCCCCATTTTCAACAGGAAGCAGGTATTGTCTCTAAAATGCTTTAAGCCTAATGACACAGCTCCATTAAAAGTAATCCCTCCCACCTCCAGCTTGTAAACTCAGTCCTAGAGCAAGCACAAAGCCTAGAAATCAGCCAGCCAGACCTGAAGATGATAGAGGGACTGGAAAAACCTTCCAAATTTCCCAAATTTCCATCAGAATGGGAACTCCATGTCAGCAGCAGACAGAGAGCCTGTCTTTAATTTGTGCTCATGTGGACAGAACGCATGTGCAAATCTGTCCCTCTTTCAGGCTGAGGGAGGGAAGTGGCTGACCTGGAAGCATTAAAACATTTCAAAGCAATCCCTGACAATTAATCCCAGCATCCACATATTTTTAAGAGGCTAACCCCATCAAACCTACCACTTTCCTATTTCCTCTTGGATTTGCCTCATTGCCAATACTGTAAAAATAAATAGGAAAGATTTTGGATGCCAAAAGTGACACAGTGCACACACAGATTTAATACAATGTTTCAAAGGTAACAGCTTGGACCAGAGAGGCATTTTTCTTACAAAGATGTTAAATTACTTCACAGAAATAAAATCACTAATCCATCTCTGCAAACCTGTTCCACCCAAGCATGCCCTGTTATTCTTTCCTGCAGGTAAGAAGATGAGAGAAGACTAAGGCACAGATCAAACACTGACAGAAGCACAAACAGAATAAAACTCCTCACCATTGTAAGTGCCATTGCTGCAGTTTCTCTATGACTCTTGAACACTGAAAAACCAAAATGTTTTCTCTTTTCCTCAAGCTTTGAATTAATTAAAATCATACAGTTCACTCCTGGGATAGAATGCTGTTCTCTAGCACACAGCTCTGCTTTAAACTCTCTCCCCAAACCATAAAACTTTTTCTGTCCAGGACAGGAGGGCTTTATCTGCATTTTGCTGGATTACATTGATAGACGGACTTTCCCAGTGGCTTGAAATAGATGTTTGAGTACCCTGGGCCTCAACAAGCAAATGTGCTGGATGACCAAAGCCCTCAATGTGATTCACAGAGCTTTGGCTGTGAGGAAGTGTCTAAGCCATTCCAGGAACTACTTTTCTGGCAGACTTTGTCAGAGAGAGACAGAAACCAGCAGGCACTGAAGGTTCAGATATGTGGCTGGGCACTCTGGAGTCTCACCCCAGGAACAGTCCATTATCCCAGCAAATGCTGCTTCTGTAGGTCCTGGCCACACACCTCCCTTCTAAAGCTGCAAGCCAACACTTTCTTAATTTGATTATTTAATTGCTCAAGAGCCTTAAACTCCTAAGAAAATATGAACACAAAAAGGCTATAAATTCATTTTAGAATGATGACTGCAGTGCTCAGGACTGAGCAGTTCCCTCCTCATGGGAAGAGCAGGAAGGCTCAGGCTCCTGCAGATCACTTCAGCACAGAAGAACCCAAAACTATTCTGTGACTTCCAGCCAGCTCCAGAGCTCAGGGGTCTGCTTTTCCTGTACAAAGGCATCAGCAACGGCACAGGGGAGGTCAAGACATGAATTCATTTGCTTTGTTTCACGTGACAGCACACTCAAGTGAGGGTTTGTACTCCAGCAATTGTGGCAGGTCCTACAGGACTATGACAAAACCTGTTCCAACATTTCCACTGTGAATGTTGCGAAAGGGAAGTACAGGAAAAACGAGCTGGCCTGTTCACAATCCAACAATGCTGGTAACTTGTGTGTGAGCAGTCTGAAACCCCTGAAACCCCTGCTGTTCCTCTCTTCATGCTGTGAATCCACATCCCAACCAAGGTGGCACCCCTTGAGCTGGTGCACAGAACTGTTACACAGAGGACATCAACTGTGATCTAGATAAAAAAGGTTTTTAGAAGTCATAAATATTTCACTTTGGATGTGTGAAAAGGAAAAATGCATTTAGTTTCTGGTGTGTGGATGGATCACTCACCTACCCCTGGCCTGGGCTTCATCAGTGGAGTATTGTCAGTTCAGATACTGAGTCAAAGAACTTGGAGGCCACATGCCACAGCTGAACTAAATTGAACTCAACCCCCTTCCTACCAGCAAAAACTATCCATTCATGTTAGTAGAACCATCTTGATGGTGCCTGTAAAATCAGTTGCCCTAACACCTGGCAGAGGATGTCTTCTCCAAGTTCTGAGTCTGACAAGGGAGGCAGCACCTCAGCAGTGAGGATACCCTGTGATTTGTACTCTCTCAAATCCTTTGAGTTGGATTCAACTGCTCCATCTGTTCCTGTTGCCATGCCATGGTTTTGTGCTGGGGCAGGCACAAAGGCTGCAGAAAGCTCAGAGATGCCTCTTCCTCTCACAGGCACCAGGGCACTGCAGTGCCAGTTAAGGAACATAGCTGAGAAGTCAATCCCCTGCTTGGGTGGGGGCTTGTTTCCTGCAGCAGAGACCTGGCTGAACAGGAATGAGAAGTAACCTGTGGCCTTACATAACCTAAAGGAAATCATGGTCTTAAACCTCCCAGTGGCACCAAGACTTCCTTCTGCCCTACATCCTGCCCATTACTGGGTCAGGTTCCCTCAGCAGCGTCTCCTGTTCCCAAAGACAGCCCCGAAGGGTTTAAGGTGCTTCTGCCAGGAAATTCCCAGGAACCTGCTGAAGGCTCCCATGGAAAAGCAACAGAGTTGGTAACACAGCTCAGCTCTACCTTCCCAAAGATGAGCCTGGCAGCGCTCCAGCAGACAAAGCTGCTGAGGTTGCCTCAAGCTTCCTCTGCCTTTGATGACTGGCCTTGGTTTACTGATGATCAAGCTCCTTCTTCTATGCTAAATTCCTGCTGCATGCTCTTTAAAAGGATGGGAGATAATAATTTAGATGTGCTTGACTGTAACTAGATCAACCATAGCTGTGGACAGTCAAAGGCATTCCAAAATGAGTCCTGACTCTGGTGCCAGCCATGGTTTATGGTTACCCAAAGTGAAAAAACAATGACTGGTTTCAAAATGGTGACAGATTAGTCTCAAAAAGGGAATGATTATCTGAACTCTGCCCAGAGCTTTGAAATTCATCCAAACGCCAGGGCTTCAGTCAGTCAAAGTCAGCACAGAATTGAAAGAGCTCCATTGATTTGCAACCACTGCAGATCCAACCCTTTGGAACAGCTGATATTCCAAGTATTTTTGTGATTTAGCTTGTTTAAGAGCCCAAACACCCAAAGTTATGAGCCTGTTTCACAGAATCATGGAATATCCTGAGTGGGAAAGGTCCCACAGGGATCATCCAGTCCAGCTCCTGGCCCTGCACAGACCCCCAGCAATCCCACCCTGTCCCTGAGAGCATTGTCCAAGCACTCCTGGAGCTCTGGCAGCCTCGGGACAGTGCACAACATCCTCTAGGGGAAGAACCTCTCCTGATATCCAACCTAAACCTCCCTTGGCACAGCTCCATGCCAGGTTTGACTCACAGAAGTTTTACCTGAGCTGGTAGTCTGGAATTGGAATACAAGATGACCTTGTTTAAATGGTGCTTGTTTGGATGTAATTTTTAGTGGCCAAGGGCTTTCTAAAGGTGCTCCTGATTCTGCTTCAGGTTCAGATTTCTTTCCATTGACATCCTCATCCTGCTCCTTGCAGGAACTGCTTCACAGCAGGGACACAAGACTCAAGACTCGGGGTATTTCCTACCCCCACTGCATCCTCAATTCAGGAGTGACCCAGTGCACCAAAATCAAGCACATAATGCAAAATGCTTGAAGTGCTGCAGGGGCAGAGCTGAGGGACTCACCTGCAAGCCTGTAGGATCTGCAGAGGCGAAGGATGAGGGAATAAAGAGGCAGGGAGTCAATCAGGTCCACCACCAAGTGTATGATGCCCTGCACAATCACCACCAGCAACCGGAGCTACAAAAACCAGTTTAACAGAACATCTCAGGAAACAGGAGATTAAACACTTGTAAATTCCTGAACTGAGCTTGGATCTAACACCGCTGTCTGCTAAGCTAAGACCTCCCAAAGTGGGTGTGATGTCTGGAAGTGCTGAGCATCCACACCCTACAGCAATCTGGGTTTAAGGGGTAACTTGAATGAAGCTCCTACAGCTGGAGATGCTGTGACCAGCAAGGACATGAGAACTATTCCACTTTCAACAGCCACAGTTGAAAAGGAAGCCTAAGTTCCCCCACTTCGAGTCAATTCCATCACTGTGTACCAACGAATGTAAACTTTCCTCTCTCCAACAGTGAGCTGCAGCAGCTCATTTCAGCCTGAAGAAACCCCTTGTAGAGTTTAAGCAAGAGCAGAGCAGGCAGAAATGAGCTTTCTGCTCTGTGCTTCCTGTCCCTAAGACACCTCCTTTTGTCACACTGCAGTTATTTTCTGCTGCCAAGCTCATCTGAAAAGAGAGGGCTCAAAAAAGATGCTGAAAGCATGTGATGGCCACTGTCTGTGGAAAATTTGGCTCCAGGCAGACCATGGAGAGGACTGGTCATACTGGGGGAAGAAAAGAAAAATAAAGAAGTCCAAACCTCTGAGGAATGTCTTGCTGAAAACATTAAATACAGCAAGTTAATTCCCTGAAAAAAAAGTTCTGGATCAGACTAGAGAGGCCATCGCTGTGGATGTGGATGGAAACATCCAAACTTCTGAGACAAAGAAAGGGGAACAGTTTGTCCTGCTGGCCAGGATTTGCTGGGAATTCCCTTTGGAAAAACACAAACATGAGCTGTGTGAGAATCCTTCATAAGACACCAACATTTTTATTTTCTTTATGGATGACCATAAATATCTAGGAAACAATTTTTTACTACCTCAGAAGTGTTTGAGAGTGTTTGACTTGTTTCAAGGGTTATATCTTACCAGGGTAAACACCAAATAATACAGTGCAGTTGTAGGCAGGAGGAACAGCAGGATTGTGAACAGCAAAGTGCCAATAAATAACTAGGGAAAAAGGAAACACAATCATGAGCAGAGCAATGGCAAAATAAAATACATCACAAATAAAAAGTAGGAGACTCCGAGGCAATGGAAGTTTGCAGGACTCCGTAATGTGTTTTTATCTTGCCTATGTGAATAATGCTGTTACCTTGGATATTTTCAGTATTTCTCCTCTCACTGGGCCTTCTTCAAAACTCCTTATTATGGGAGTACATTTGGAAAGACAAATAAAAGCTGGATCCTGACAGCACTTTTCCTTTACAGACAACATCTAAGATTTCCCGTCTCAGGCCAGCTTCCTTAGGAAACTAGACTTATGTGATCTTGCAATTTTTCCACTTTCAGTCCCCAAAAGTTTTACAGCCATTGATCAGATTTTACCAGAAAAATGTGAAAAATAACAAAGAAGTGGTAATTTGAATGGTAATTCTGGAAAGAATTGAGAACAACTTCTGTTTCTCCTTGTTTTAGCAGTGCAGGCACCTGGTGCAAACCTGACAGAATTTGGGTGATAAACATTCCCCAAGACAGCAAATGGCTGAGCTGTCCAGCCACAGGAATTCTGCCTCTTGCTCAGTGGGAAGGTGGGAGATACAAAGAAGCTGGAGGAGGAGCAATATCGAGAGGATGAAGGAGAAAAATCCCTAAGGAAGCAGGTGTCATTAGCTTCACTGCCCACAGAAAAAGTTATTTTTATTCTGGGCCAGCCCAGTTGGCGTAGGTCTAAATAATTCCGAGTGGGAGAATTCAGATTTATACCAAACAGGGACCTGACTCTTCTATTTCCAGTCACCACTTCCAGATCAGAGAGACCACAGGAGCACAGGGCACTGCAACCTCTGCAAAAAGGGACCACGGCTACAGGGTATCATGAAAGAAAACAACCCAGCAGCCATGGCACCGAGGTGGATCAGCACCACAGCTTCAGGGATGTAACCAGGAATAGATCACAATCCAATCCATGCTCCTTGCAGCAGTTGTTTCTCTCTTCTCCTGTCACACTACTGCAGTTGTTTAAACCTCCAAAAGTCTTTTAAGGTCTGCTTTGAATGTCTCTTCCTACCCAGCCAGTGACACAATTCCCACTGGTCTCCAGAGAAGCAGGATGAAGCCTCAAGTGCCAAACCAATTCTCCTCAAAGTACACAGGGAGTAAGCCCTGATGCAAACCTGGCACGGAGGCTTTTAATCACCAAAGAAACAGAAACCCATCTCTTAGCTGTGGTGCAAGAAGCTCAAGGTTATCTGTTGTAATAGAGAGAGGCGCTGAGCCTGCAAGTTTCCAAATATTATTGTATTATTTCAGTGATGTTTGCAGCTGCTGGCCTGCAGCAGTCCCGGCTCTGCTGGACTTTTGCATGGCATTTCAGAAATTAAAAAGAGCTTACAGCACTTCACAAAAAATTGCCTCTGCCTGAGTGAGAGTGTGTGGGCCAGGCTCCAGCACAACGTGAATGAAACGGGGGCCTTTTAATAGAAACGCTGCCACGGCTGTTACTGTGGCAACACTGCTGGGCACCACATTTCCAACTGCCTCCATCCCTCCCCCATTCCCACACCGGGCTCGGGAGCTCTCAGCATCTGCAGCACCCACTGCAGCTCGCAGGGTGCCTGGCACACGCTCAGGGCAGCTCTGCACTTGGCACAGTTTGGCCCTCTGAGCAAGGGAAGGGTGCTGGGGGGCACGGGAGGGCAAAGGGAAAGGAAGGGCTGGGATGGGATGCTGGAGAGCAGGGATGGAGTGCAGGGTAGGGAAGGGGTGCAAGGAAGGGGTGCAGGGCAGGGAAGGGGTGCTGCAGGGAAGGGGAGGGGTGCAGGGAATGGAAGTGGTATAGGGAAGGGAAGGACTGCTGCAGGTAAGGAAGGAGTGTTGGAAGGCAGGGAAGGAGTGCAGGGCAATGAAGGGGTGCTGCAGGGCAGTCAAGGAGCGCTGTAAGGCATCAGAGGAGCCATGGGCTCAGAGTGTCGGGGTATGTCCTTATTGTGGGCACCACAGAGGCTCCTGTGTCTGTGTCCCAGTATCAGTCAGAGCAGGATGCGAGGGCATCATCAAGGGCAGTGCCCTGGGGTGTCCCCAGGGCTGTGGCACTACCTGGTCCAGATCATAGGAGCAGGAATCCACCCGCTGCCGCAGCACGTTCCACTTCTTGCCCCGGAACAGGCGCCACAGAGAGGACAGGCCATAGATCTTCAGGCAGTAGAGCCTGAGCAAAGAGAAGACTCTGCAGCACAGCTGGCAGCTCCCAGCTCCAGCACCACCCAGCTGCCACCAGCACAGCCCCACACCTACTCACCCACCTGCACTGGGAATGATGCAGATAAATACTCCTGGCTCAGTCAACTCTGCCTGGGCTGCTCCCTGGCATGGGGGCTACTGCAGCCAGCTTTGGGCCACTGCAGGGCAATGGCCAGGCCATGCCCTGGAGCTGCAGCAATCACCAGCCTCATGGCAACACCTTCCCTCCAGAAAAAGGGTGCTGAGTCCCTGGCACAGGGTGCTCAGAGAAGCTGTGGCTGCCCCTGTATCCCTGGAAGTGACCCAGACCAGGATGGATGGGACTTGGAGCTACCTGGGATAGAGGAAGGTGTCCCTGCCCCTGGCAGGAGCTGGAATGAGATGAGCTTTAAGGCTTCTTCCAACCCAAACCATGCCATGATTCTATGAAAAGAACCAGCAATCCTATTTCCCCAAGCTCACCTGTGTCTCCCCAGTTCAGATCTGTACCTTCCCCTGCCTTCACACCCTTCCAGACAGGCCTGGCCAAGGTCTTACCCACACACCTGAGTCAATGCAATGCAATTGTGCCTCTCCAGCAGAGAGGCGAGGGAGAGGAGTGGAGCCCCTGAAGCTTCTCTAGTAACCCACAGCTCTAAAAATCCTTAAGAGTGGGAAGAGACCAGTGAAATATGTGGTGGCCCCTACTGCACCCCTTCCTTAGGCTTTCAGAACTTGGTGCTATGAGACTTGGGGTGACAAGGGACAGGAAACAGACACCTCTTTATGGAATAACATCAAGGAAGAAAGAGCCCTTGGGATGGAGAGAAGGCACAAAAAGCCCTGGGCAGCAGTGCCAACACACAGGGATGTAAAGAAAGGGTACATGGCCAATGTGTGGGGTAGAACAGAGTCTGAGAAAACCTGAGCTACAAAAGCCAGACTGGCAAACCAGGCCAGCTAAGGTGTGGAGGCTGCTCAGATTTCACAGCAGCAATGTGAAAGCAGAGGCAAGGAGTCTCATCCAAGAGAAGAATCTGGTTTGAGGAACACCAACTGCTTCAAGGAATTGGCAGGGTGCCTCCAGACTGGCAGGCACAGCTTGGTGCACTAATCCCTAGGCAGGAGGGAGTCCAGGACAACTCCTCCAGGTTCTGGCACACACCTGCCCATGACTCTAACTAAGGCCATGCCCCTTGGTGCAGCACAAGTTAGAGGAGAGCAGGAACAGAGCACAGTGATGGGCACCTCTTGCACAGGAAGCCAAACATGCCCCAGATGTGCCCCAAAGCCCCCCAACTCCCCCTACTCACTCAGAGCCTCTGCCCAGCTTTCAGGCCACAGACCCTCCAATGACACCAGGATAGTGTCACAGACCCCCTGTAACCCCAAATCTGCCACCTGTGCTCCACAGTGCAGGCAAGGACCACTGAAGCAGGGCAGACACAGGGATTTTGGGGCTTCTTCAAAACTACAGGGGTACCCCTCTCCTCATCCTCTTCTCCAGTTCCCCTCCAAATCTCTAGCAGGGTGCAGTGGAGGAGAGTACTATGAGGCTGAACCAAAGGGATGGGGTGAGCTGCTTTCTTGTCCTCTGCCTGTCATGTAGTTTCATTTTTCTAGGTCACTACCATGACAGATAAATATCTAAATGAAGGAGAAATGAAAGATGGGCTGCTTGTACTGCCGTGGCCATCATTTCTACAGGCTTAAAGGACTGCAAGAAATTATTGTGGATTAAACTGTGAATTCAGGAGAACTACACCAGGACTGAACGCTTCACCACAGCCTGAGGTGTTTCCAAAGAAAGCCCAGAGAGGGAGGGGGACTCACCTGGCCCCGTAGACATAGAAGCAGTATATGTGGAAGGTCAGGAGCGCAACGATGTCAGAGAGGATGCAGAGAGCCACGGTCAGGCCCAGACAAGCCGACAGCCCCACGTACCACAGGATCATCTCAATGAAGGGGGACAGCAGGTGAATGTAGCCTGGTGGACATGGCAGAGGGTCAGTGTTTGATTGGGTCATCTCCCTCTCTACCCTCTCAAAAGGCTGATTCCCCTCGCCCTAGAACACTGCCCCAGAAATCAGAGCCGCGGAAATGTGGAAGTGAAGCTGGAAAACTCCTTTAGATGCCATCCTCTCTTTAGGAGGGCCAAAAAAAGCCTCTCCTTCTGCCCCAAGGTGGGGTAGCACTGGGAGAATGGGGAGGAATGTGCACAGCTTGAACACAGCAGGCACCTTTCTCCATGGGATTTCATGGAGTTAGCATGGCATGGTTTGGGTTGCAAGGCACCTTAAAGATAATTTAGTGCCACCCCCCTGCCATGGGCAGGGACACTTTCCACCAGACCAGGTTGTTTCAATCCCTACCCAATCTGGCCTTGAACACTTCCAGGGATGTAACATTTGATTTTCTGCATTTGTGTCCAGGTTCTTAAGTACATTTTTAACTGCACACATCAACCTTTACTGCAACCATTCCTGTTTTTCTGCTCTTCCCACAAAAGCCACCTCATATGGCTTTTGTAAAATACAGTAGTATGGACAAACAGTCTCTTTCATTACCAAAGTGGGGCAAAGTCACAGAAACAAGACCATACTTGACTAGTGAGCAAAGTAAATCAGTAAAATAACTATGGAGTTCATGTCCATCATGCCTGTACCCCTCATCAAGGATAACAAGAGCGTGTTATTTCAAGGAAGAAACTGAAATAATAGAATTGCACTAACTGAAATAATAAAATTGCACTAAGCTGAAGTTGGTGATAGCACAGGACAGGCACTTGCATCCTTGCACATTTCTCTATCCCAAGAGCTGCCTCTCACATGGCAAAGACCACGAAACCCTAAAAAGACCTCACAGCAGTACCTTCCCTTGGACACTCACCACCAGTGACACCAAGGAAATAAGTTCCAGCAGCATCCACACTTCTTGCAGAGCATCAAAACCAGCACTTTATTTAATATGCATGAATTCCTTGTGTGGGAATCCAACTTTGGCTTCAGTTCCCACAGCAGGAAGACTCCCAGACAAGTCTGTACTTGCAGAAGTGCATTTTGACTCATTACTCACCTCTAGGCAAACATTAAACACTCAGAGGGAAGAGATGAAAAGAGAGGTTGGAAAGTTAAACAATTTCACTTACTGATCCAAAGATGGATGTGATAAAGGAAGAAGCGGCCCAAAACTTGATCCAAGGCTCGGTTCATTTTCAGTCCAGCTGGTGCTCCCATTAGCCACTGGAGCAGGTCCTGCAGCTCTTCAGCCACGTGCTGCAAACACAAGGAAGCCAGGCCATGGAGAGAAAAGACTGCAATCACACTGAACAGGACCAGTGAACTGTAACTGCTGCTCCTCAAGTATTCCACCACAACCTTCAAACCAGTGCGAAAAAATCCAAACAACAGCTTGACAGACAACTACCTAAATCAGAAATGCACTTTTATTAACTCCTTACTGAATCAACCACAACAGCTGAGAGGAACCTGAATTGCTTCAGTGGTCTCTGTGCTGGGACCATGGAACTATGTCACCTCTGGCCACCTCTGGAAGGCTTGCACAGTGGGATTTCTTGGGGTAATGAGGGTTCTGGAAATAGATGGCAAATGCTGGTGCACATATTCACTTCTGGGGACAGTCAGGTGAAAAGTCAGAGCTGAGTTTGGAGAAGGCTATTAGGATTTTAAAAGGAGGGGAAGATGGCAGTGCGCTAATGGGCAAAAGAGAGTTCATTTTTATAAACAATCTATGTTTGTTTGGAGCAGGGTAAAAAACACAATTACATAAAAGTATTTCATTGTCGTGGTTTGACAGGGAAAAAGAATTTTTCCAGAAGGAAGAGGTCAATTTGGACATTGACCAATTGAAGGTGGACACGCCTCTGAGAACACAGAGGGGTTAAAAGCAGAATTCCCAGGAGAACTCAGGACTCTCTCCTGCCTGGCGATGACATGTGGCCTTCGGAGGTAGGCCCAAGGGTGGAGGGACTGGAACCGGGCTGGCCCCCTGCAGATGGAAGGGTGGAGAAATCTGGGATGTCTCCATTCCCCCCCAGAGTCTCTCTCTCTCCCAAGTGGTTTTGCCAGCAGTTCACCACGGGAAGAAGAAGAGCGGGGAGGCCACAAGGTGCCCAGCTGGGCTGTGGGAGCTGGAGCTTGGGCAGCAAGCCATCCTTGGGAGTCGGGACTTTTAACCCTTCCTGAGAAATGGAAGCTTTGTGAAATTTTTCTCCTCCTCGGTTTGAAAAGAGAGGAAGAGAGACAGCCTGGGACCTAGGATGTTAGAAGGAGAAATTCCAGGTGGGAGGAGATGATGGAGTGGCTTTTGGCTGGACTTTTTCTTGGTAGCCACAGACTGAACTGATCTTCTCCTCCAAGAGAGACTGTATTTTAGGAGGATGCCGGTGAGCCAAAGAGACCATGCTTCAGCTGGGAAAAGACAGAAGTGGAGCCAACAGAGAAAAGTTAAGGAGGTTTGTGGTGGTGCCCCCTGTCTTCGCAGAGGAGGAAGAGAAGAAGATCTCTGTTCTTGGACCCTCGGCTCCAGGGGAAAATGGGGGGGGGGGGGACTGCTGGTCCCAAAAATGAAAAACTGAACTATTGTTTTTTCCCCTCTTGGCAGGGCATCCTTGAAAGGAAAAATCCTAAAAAGCAGTCTGTCCATCCATGCATTGGTGGTGAGAGCACTGTGCATGGAAAGGAGAGGGCCACCATGGCAAACTTTTTTTTCTCCGGGCGGTGCCATGTGGTGACATGGAAGCACAGGATGTGGCAGCTGTGTTTCTTGGGGGGGTCTGTGGCACAGGAGAGACTCCTCTCTCCCTACAGATGGACTGGGTGTTGATTATCTGGAGGGTGGAAACCTGATTGGGGTCCAGATTGTGTCTCACTGTGGTTTGTTGGAGTTGGGTGGTGGGAGGAGGAATGCTTTAGAAGGTTTTCATTTTGAATTGTGTGTGTTTGTTTATTCTTTTTTTTCCGTTTTATAGCAGCATAGTGGTAGTAGCTTAATAGGCTACTATTAGGCTTGGGCCTGCTTTGCTCTGTTCTTGATCCCATTTCACAGCATTCAATTGAGAGATTGCATTTTCATGGGGGCACTGGCTTTGTGCCAGTGTCAAACCATGACATTCATGTACAAACTCTCTTGATACTTTGTGGTGTACTAGGCAACAGCCCTGATCTTGCTTATCACTCTCTGCAGGCTTCATGGACAGGTACTCATGGCATCCCAGCAACAGAGCACTCTTGGAATCACTGAGAAAAAACACTAATGGAGGTCTTCCCCACATTACTGAATGAGAAAATCATTATGGTTGGAAAAGGCCTCTAAAAACAAGTCCTGTGAACCTAATACTGCCAGGTGCACCACTAACCTACATCCCCAAGTGCCACATCCACACAGCTTTTTGAACACTTCCAGTGACTTCACCACTGTCCTGGGCAACCTGTTCCAATGCCTGACCACCCTCTTTATAAAGGATTTTTCCTAATATCCAATTTAAACCTCCCCTGATGCAACTTGAAGCTGTTTTCTCTTGTCTTGTCCCTTGTTACCTGGCTGTCCCCTCCTGTCAGGGAGTTGTGCAGAGCCACAAGGTCCCCCCCGAGCCTCCTTTTCTCCAGGCTGAGCCCCTTTCTCAGCCCCTCCTGGTGCTCCAGCCCCTTCCCAGCTCTGTTCCCTTCTCTGGACCTGGTCCAGGCCCATGTGCTGTCACTTCACTGCTGCAGAACAAACCAAATCCCAGCTCTGGGCTTGTTCTTCCCTACCTCAAACGTGTGCTTCAGACCCTTCACTGAGGGCTGCTATTCACTGCTTCCGGTGATTTTAGCCCAGGCTGGTATTATTTTTTGATTTTCTCTCTCCATTCCGCTACTGCACACTCCTCTTGCAGTTGGGTGATTTTTCTTCTCAGAACTTCACAGCTACTCTGCTCCCCTGAGCTGAAACCATTGCTGAGCTCCAGTTACCAAGCTGTGAACTGAGGGAGCTCATAACCTTCAGCAAACAGGTGGGGAAAATGTCAGGAAGAAGTGACCTCTGACACTGTCCCACATGGACAGGGATTGTGAGGAAAAGCCCTCTTTCTCCATAAATCCCACTTACAGCCCATGCAAGTAAAGGGCACTGAAAACTGCCCACATGCAGAACCACCAAGCCTCACTCTCTAAAGCTGATGCACTGTAGCCTATTTTCCTTATCATTCACATGTACAACTCCCCTATGAAAAAATACTTCCAAAGAATGGTTCCATTTTCTTTATTAACCAACAGATCCTGGCAAAATGAATTTGTAAACATTTACTTTTAGTGCAGTGGCAAAATTAATGGTTCCATTTTCAACTTCTCCAAAAGGCTTGTCTTTCTATTCCCTTACTTTTCCTTCTGTCTCACTGCAAGTCAGGACTGATTGGATCCCATGGAGCTCACCTCTGTGGCTGAAAAGCGCTTGCTGCTTTATAAATAGACTGGTTTTAATATTTAAAGTGTTGGATTGGTAACTTAGAAAAAGCATTTGGGGATTTTAATGAAATATTTAAATGCTTGAAAGCAGTCCTTCAGCAAGGCTGCGTTTTAGCATGGAGTATTTCTGGAGGCTGCCAGTCCCAGAGGTGCTGCTAAACCCTGGCAGGGGCACATAGCCCTGGGAAGGTGCCCTACCTTGCTGTTATTTAGCTGGGCAAGACATCTCAAAACAGAGTCCTGAGGCATAACCTTGCAGGTTGTTTTCCAGACAGATATTTTAGGACTGATCAATAGCAAGTAAAATCAGGAAAGGTGATGGTGAGTCTGATTCTCCTCCTTCAGTCATGAATACTGAATGTGGGCATATTAATAAATCAGATACAGCGGTTTGGAAGTGTTTCATAACAGGGTACTGGGACATGACCCAGCTGGAGAGAGACTGGTGCTAATGAGGGTTAGATGAGCTCATTGTGGAAATATTCTCTTTCCTGTCATGCTCTTCTTCCTGGTTTCCATGTGCAGAGGACTAATGCTGATGTGACATGGCTGGAGAAGGACACACAGGGCACTGTGATGCTCAAGGGAATGAGGCTGGGGAAGGGTCAGGAGCAGCAGGAGGAGCTGAGGGAGCTGGGAAGGGGCTCAGCCTGGAGAAAAGGAGGCTCAGGGGGGACCTTGTGGCTCTGCACAGGTCCTGACAGGAGGGGACAGCCAGGGGGGTCAGGCTCTGCTCCTAGGGAACAGGGACAGGATGAGAGAAAACAGCCTCAAGTTGCACTAGCAGAGGTTTACATTGGATATTGAGAAAATTCCGTCACTGAAAGGGTGGTCAGGCACTGGCACAGCTGCCTGGGGCAGTGGTGGAGTCCCTATCCCTGGGGGCCCTTGTGGAGAGGGGTTAGTGGTGAACACAGTGGTGCTGGGCTGATGGTTGGACTTGGTGATCTTAAAGGTCTTTTCCAGCTTTAAGGGTTCTATCTGGTGCAAGTCAGAGCATGCAGAGCCAAAGCTCTCCCTATCAGACACACCTGCCCCGTGTCTGTTGCAGCTGGCTGGGGCTCTAAGATACACTATTTTATATATTTTTCAGGAAGTACTCTCTCTGCTTGCTTTGTTTTCAGATCAGTGGAACAAGACTGACTAGGAGCATACATCCAATTACCTCCAAGCCCCAGTAAAGAATTTGCAGGCACAATCTATGATAAATATGTAACTGTTTCAAACAGATTGCAACTTAGGAAAAAGAGACATCGGAAAGGATAAAAGAGATAAAGGGAGAAAGAAAAGGAGATAATTTATAAGCAGTTCTGTTTAAAACCAGTGCACAGCTTTGAGTCAGGTATTTCTGAAAGAAGGCTGTCTTTTGGAAGGCAAAAGTAAGGACAACCATTGGGAAGCCTGGTGGGATCAAGAGAAGGAGGAAGGTAGGAGCTGTGAGGGCACCTACAGAGAGAAGATTATTCAAGTTTTCCATTTTGGATTTGAAAGTCTGCTTCAGAAATCAGTCTTTCCTAACAGCTCCTTGCCAGTTATTCCCTGGGTGTCTCTGAATCACATCTGCCTCACTGAATGACAAAAGCAGCTTGTTATTACAGCCAGCACAGTACAGCTCACCACGCTGGGAAAGTGGGAGTTGCACTCAGGGATGTCTTGTGCAGCAGCAACAATTGCCACTCAAGTGCTGATTTGAGATCCATTTTATCAGAGGATGACAAAGGATGGCCAGGTAACACAGCTTGGACTCCTGGCAGCAGGTTGAGTTTGTGACCCTGGCAGTGCTGAGAGTCAAAATAAACCACCTGCACTGATTCCTTCCAGAGAGATGTTAGTTGGAAAAAACCCAAGCACTGTATCCAGGCCCCACACAGCTGGGATTTTGTCAATGTTAAAATCAATCAATCAAACCAGTAAGGTTATGTGTTATATAAAGGTAGCCTGTCAATATTAAAATCAATAAGGTTAAAGTGAGGTTATGTATATAGCCTCATTATATATAACATTCTTGTTATAATAGCAACATAGAATATCCTGAGTTGGAATCAGGGATCATCCAGCCCAGCTCCTGACCCTGCACAGACACCCCAACAATCCCACCCTGTGCATCCCTGAGATCACTGTCCAAGCACTCCTGGAGCTCTGGCAGCCTCGGGGCTGTGCCCATTCCCTGGGGAGCCTGGGCAGTGCCCATTTGCACCCTCCGGGGCAAATGAGATATCCAATGTTCTACTTACCAACAGACACAGAGGGGTAGGGTCAATGCTATCAGCATATCTGGGCACAACTCAAAGCAGAAGAGTGTTGGGGAAGGAAGAGGGGCTCTCTGCACACAGGGAATGCTGAGTTACTGAACTTGGCAACACACAAGCACTTGAGAAAGCCCAGTGATGGGAATAATGCAGACCAGATGGACACTCAGCAGCAGAGAGGAAACCTACGGCTGAATGGATGAGGGGAGATTTTGCTGTCATACTGGAAAAGAAGTGGTGCTGGCTTGCACACCACATGCTAAAGTCATTGGGATATTTTGGGATCACTCAGATCTGCATTTTTTAAGGCCTGCACATAATGCATATAAATCAATGCCCAGCAACAGGAGTAAAAAGACTCCAAATGATTTTATGTCCACAATCTCATATGCCTGAAAGAAGAAAGTAAAATGGAAAAAAGAATTGTGAGTGGCCTGAACTGATAAGCCTAGAAAAACAGGGAAGAAAGGCACTGTCTGGCTATCAGCCCCCCCAGACATGGAGAAGTCAGCACTTCCAAGAAAGAAAGCAAACAGCTCCTGGTGATAGCCAGGTAACAGAGTCCAGCATGGAGGAGACTTGGTGAAGACAGCTGTCACTGTGATGCAAAAGTTGAGTGAAAGATGAGCTAAATTATTGAAAGAGGAAAAAACAAGCAACCATACTTGACTGGTGAGCAAAGTAAATCAGTAAAATAACTATGGAGTTCATGTCCATCATGCCTGTGCCTCTCCATCAAGGATAACAAGAGTGTGTTATTTCAAGGAAGAAACTGAAATAATAAAATTGCACTAAGCTGAAGTTGGTGATAGCACAGGGCTCACAAGAAAGCCTGTCCAGCACAGGTGCTGGGGTTGAACACACCTTGAGCATGGAGAGCGTCCATCTGCCAAAGACACTGGGCAGATGGAATCCCTCCCAGAGCCACCTGTGCAACCAGGAATGCAGCCAAAGCCACTTCCCTGCAGACTTGTTAAGAAATCAGATTTCTGAGAGCTGGGCACTTCAGTAGTCCCAAAGGGAAAGCTCTAGAGAACTTAAAACTTCTCCAGCTGAAATATCTGTAAGGGGAAAGATGTAGGAATAAAGTTTAGAAGAATATTTGCAGTGTATAGCTCAAACACAAGACCAAGTGTCCTGCAATAAATGTAGTTTTCCCTACCCACCACCGCTGCTGAGTAGTGTCTACAGCATACACGCTGTCCTTAAAAGTTTGACTATGAAAGATAAGAAAACCAGCAATAATCCTGATCCACAGCTATGCTGGACAATCCATGCATGCTTTCTCAAAGTCCAGCATGTACAAGAATGATCAGAGACCTTGGAATAATTAAGGAGTTAGACATGGACCAAAAAAGATCATCGTCAAGGGAAATGGTCTTCCCAGGAAATGCAGCATAAGTAGGAAAAACAAACCACTGCTGGAATTCTCTAATCAAAATCAAATTCTTCCCAACCAAGAAGCTGGAGAAAGAGCAGAGAAAAGACATTCTCCAGCTGCTAGAAAGAAACCAATGGAAAGACCCATTCAGAAATGAAAGAAAAGTGGGCAGAGAAAGGATTAAGCTGTGCAGCAGCATGGCAGGGCTCAAAATTGACTGCACATGTAATCCCAAGACACAGAAGCTCTTAAAAGAGAGGTGACCCTGACCTCAGATTAGTGGTCTGGTCTCCAGCCTGTGAAGTACATTCCTTACCGCCACTGAACAGATGCACTGGAGCTCTGCATCTAAAATGAACCACCAGAAAAGCAGGACCATGTGAATCATACACACTATCTGTGAATTTCTGATGATGCTGAGGGATTTCAGTGGGCAAGAGGAGTTATGTTTAAGAAAATCACAACACATTGCAGGTTTTCCTAGTTTAGCCATATCCCAGAGCTCTTAAGCAGGATTTCAGGTGTTTGTACCTTGACCAACAAAGCCTTTGGACTTCCCCATGAAACTCCTTCCACAAGCACAGCTGCACTGCTTATCATATTTGACTTTCCAGCAGTTTATCAGACTCAACCCAGGTTACAGCTTTTTTTTTTCACCATGAACAACCCATATAGTAACAACTCGAGAACACTTTCTGTTGACTCCAGAAAAAAATAAAAGTACTATGGCTCCATAACCACCCAACCTGCAGACTGCAGAGCTTTGTCCAAGCCATAATTGTTCCTTTAGAAGCTGGAAGAGCCCTCCCATAAACATCTAATTACTATTCACAGCACATGCAAAGCAGAGCTGAGTTTCTTTTGAGCAGCTCCAACAGGCTTGATTTGAAGATTTCACTGTTTTTGAGCAGACCTGATTTGCATGACTTCAGAGAGGTCTCTATGAAAGCTTGTGTGTGAGGCATTGCTCCTTAACAACCAACCCAGAGCAGGTGAAAGAGGATGAGTTTTGGCCAGACTTACGTCAGCCACGGGGATGAGAGTGTCAGCAAGCTGCCCAATGCGGTTCTTCCTGTACAGCCACGACATCAGCAGTATCCCCAGGGCCACATCAATCAGCAGAGACACAAAGATGTTGGCTTTCCTGCAGGCAGGGTAGAGAGAAACAGAGTTAAAGAAAAAGGAAGGACAGTGTTTAATGTTTCAATGACAGTTGTTTGCTTCGCTTATGTAGCACCTTTAATGCCCCAGGGACACCAGGACACTGAAGAGGAACAATTCTGGAATCTTTTCAGTTCCACTGGTGTGCTGCTCCTTATGTAGCCAAGCACAGGAGTGGTTTGTTCAGCCTGGAGAAGGGAAGGCTGAAGGGAGACCTCACAGCTGTTTACAGCTCTCTCCTGAGGAGCAGCTCCAATCTGTGACCAGGGACCTGACCCAAGGGAATGGCTGGAGCTGTGGCAGGGGAGGTTTACATTGGTTTTTAGGAAAAGCTTCTTCCTCCAGAGGGTGCTGGGCACTGCCCAGGCTCCCCAGAGAATGGGTACGGCTCTGAGGCTGTCAGAGCTCCAGGAGTGCTTGGACAACACTCTCAGGCATGGCCAGGGTAGGATTGTTGGGGTGTCTGTGCAAGGCCACGAGCTGGACTGGAGGATCCCTGTGGGTCCCTTCCCACTCAGGATATTCTGTGATTTCATGATTCTAAACTCAGAGCCACTCAGAGCCTGCCACACCACAAAACCTTTCTTAGTAGGAAGCAAAGAGGGGATTTGAAGCTACAAAGAGGAATTTTAGACAGAAAGGTAGATACACACTCAGGGGGGATTTACCAATTACCAGTACCAAGGGCAGCAGCACTTGGCACATCCACATTGAGATCAGATGGCTTTCCCAGACAAGGCAATAAATAGTAAATAAATACACAAACCCAGAAGGGCTGCTGAGCTGCTTCTTCCTTGCTAGAGCTTCTGAATGGAATTCCATGACGTGAGCTATTCAAGAATCGGACTGAACACCACAGTTACTTATGGACTTTGAATCTGTTAATCTATTTTAAGTGTTCCCTGGGAGTCTACTCCTGCAGGATCAGAGAACCACACAGAACAGGACTGGCTGTGGAAGAGCCGTAGGGCAGCCAATATCTGTCTCAGATCTCTGCTCTGTTCCTCTCACTGTGCTGCATGTTTGCCTTTTCTCTTACACTTTGTTACTGTTCTACCAGTGTAAGTGGAGTCTCTGGTCTGCAGTTTCTGCACAAAGAGCTTCCCCAAAATAATGGGAGGGATTTAGGGGAGCATTTAAAGGGGAGCATGTAAACCTTTCTGCTCTTATGAAAAGTACCAACTGAACACTGATGGACGGCTGTGGTTGACAGCAGCACATGTGAAAGCAATGAGCCTGTGGGAGTAGTGACAGCAAAGCACTCACACATGGGTGCAGTACAACCTTTTGGGGTGCAATATCCCAGTTGCCTTTCCTGGGCTAGGGAAAAAGGAAGGTATCTGGCAAAAGGCACGATTAACACATAAAAATGCAAATATATATGCATATAAATACAGTGCAGAGTAAAGATATCCAAACTAGCAGGGAACAGAGCAACGTGATAGGGTGCAGTGAGGACCTAGTACTGTCCAGGCATGGGATCCATGGTTTGGGTTCCCCACAGGAGACAGGACTAGAGCCAAGACACACCCAATTTTACATATACTTCATACCTCATCAGCTGATTTTGGTTTTGAGCCTTCTTGTTGCTGCTGATGACCTGGAGGTGCTGCAGGCGATGTCCCAGCTGCTCACAAGTCGAGAGTTTGCTCCACAAGAAAGACAAAGGCCAAAACTTCAGCACCCTGCAGAAACACACGGGAATGTCTCCTCTTGCCTTTGCCATGCAGCAGGCAGGCCAGCATCCATGCAAAACAGTCAATGTGAAGTTAAGGTTGTGCAACCAGAGCTGGTGATTAGATGTTAATTACTCTGAAAGGTTAACAGAATTAAGGCAGCCTTGCCAGACCAAGACATGCAGACAAACCAAGCTCTCATTTGCACTCTGTCAAACTGTGTCTCACTCACTCTTCCAAGGAAGCGACAAGGCAAGCCTGATTCCAACCTCTGCTTTTGGATGCATCTCTGGGCTTACACAATGCTCTGATCTCCAGGAGAAAAGAGTCAAGGTGTGTTCAGTGCAACAATACAACACAGTGTAACTGCTGCACAAACCCAGTGTTACTCATCATGGATCATGGAATGGTTTGGGTTGGAAGGGACCTTAAGGCTCATCTCATTCCACCCCCCTGCCACAGGCAGGGACACCTTCCACTATCCCAGGTAGGTCCAAGCCCTGTCCAACCTGGCCTTGGACATTTCCAGGGATCCAGGGGCAACCAGAGCTGCTCTGGGCACCCTGTGTCAGGGCCTCCCCACCCTCACAAAGTCCCTTCCCAATATCCCATCCATCCCTGACCTATGGCAGTGGGAAGCCATTCCCCCTTGTCCTTTCCCTCCATCCCTTGTTTAAAGTCCCTCTCCAGCTCTTCTGGAGCCCTTTAGGTCCTGGAAGGGACTCTAAGATCCCTCAAGAGCCTTCAGCTCTCAGGTGAACCCCTCCAGCGCTCCCAGCAAGGCTCCAGAGTAGAGGTGATCACAAGTCTCTGTGTGGTGTGAGCCTCATGTAACAAACAGCTGTGCCCTACATGCAGTTTTATGCTCCTTCCCCCACCTCTTTTCTTTTTTCTTCCACTTGACCCTTCTCTTCATTTTTTTCTTTATTACTTCCAAATACTTTTTTCAGGGTCTTCACTTCTACCTTCTCTTCATTGCCTTGCAGTGACCAGCATTATGTTGATAGCACAACATTTAGCATTTAATTAGGTTTCAAAGTTAACATCCACATTAGGCCTGTAGGGGAGGAAACAGTCACAAGGTTCTTTTCTTATGACTCAGAAGAAAAGTACAAAATGATGCTCAATTATTTTAGGGAGTTACTTTTATTACCACACAACCTATAAAGCAAGGACAGTTGGTGATTTGTGCAGGCTGAAGTGACACAATAGTGGGAGCAAGCTGGTCACAGAAACCACAGCAACACATGGCACCAGGTTTGGTTTGGGGGATAAATTCTAATGTGGATGTAATTTAGTTCACTTCTCTCCTGTACACGGGAGTACACTCCACCAGGCAGTGCAGTTGTTGCACTACTTTCACAGTGATTTACTGGCTTTTGTTACAGGTCCAGGAATCCATGGTCACTTTCAGTCACTTCATCTACTCTCCTGCGCTGCTTTGGCACAGTTTTTCAGGTTACATTCATTTCACACAATACCATTATTCCTTATATCCTGCTTCACCCTGGAAACTGCACAGCTGCTTGGATCATTGCTGAGCACAGCCTGGAGATGGATGTCCCTGCAAACTGCGCGTGCCCTCCACGGATTTCACCCAGCGCATGCCAGCCCATGCCCAGCAGCAGATGCCTCCGTGACTGGCCAGGATGGGCACAGTGGGGTGCCCACTGCTATTTATACAATTCACGCCAATCTAAGGGTATGGTTCCTCCAAACCCTGCTCAGTTCCCTGAGGCTGCTGTCCCTTTCCTCCCTGCCCCCTCCTGAGCCCTTTGAACCCCACTTTGTGCATCGTTTGTCAGCTTAAGGACCAGAGTGTTGAAGTCCCCCTCTTCCCCCTCCCTCCCCATTCAAATTTCAGACACATTGGGTTTGAAACACACGCAATGTACTGTGAATCATTCTTAATTTGAGGTCTCCAAGTTACTCAGCTCTGCGCTACAGCCTCCCACCTTGGAGACAAATGAATGCACTGTTCCTCAGCTGACTTGTCAGGAGGAGGGAGCTGAGGCGGTGGAGAAAAGAGCACCGTGCAGGGGAGGGAGAGGGGGTGACTGCTCTGGCCACTGATCACACACACCTGCGCTCACAGATTCACCAAGGCACGAGAGCAGACGTGTTTTCCCTTCCAATTATGCCCCAGCTCAGTGGTTACAAACTCTGGTGTGGCAAAACTTGACTAGAGCAGAGATTGCACTTGAAATGTAAAGAAGGGGAAGGAGGAACGCTCTACCTGTGGGATTATGTACAGATGGCTGAAGGTGAAGAATTATGGGTCAAACACCAGCTGCCAGATCCTGTCAGCTCAGGCAGAAAGCAGCAGCTCTGGGGCCCTGTGCTACACTACACACTCACTGGGTGATAGTCTCATCCTCTCTCAGCACTGGGTGTCTCTCGCCAACCATGGCTGCTCCTCAAGCTGGAGGCAGCCAGCCTCTGGGTCACCCCCAGTTTGCCACTCCTGGCCAAGAGAAAGGACAGGCTGCTGCTTTCTGCCTGAGGAATGTCTTGCACAAGTGGGAATGATTCCCAAAGCAGCCTCATCCCCAGAGCACCACAAAATTGTGCAGCCTGCAATGGTTCAGCTCCTCAACTGGACACCATGGGGCCAAAAACATATCACAGGGATGTCCTTGTCTGTGCTTCTCTTTTCAATCACCACCACAAGCACAACCTCTATTCCACTCACATGCTTTATTTGGAAATACATACACATACTTGTTGAAATAAAAATATAAACATACTGCAAAAAGCTCAAAAGAGCAGCTGCAAGATGTGCTATGGGAACTCTCCTCTCTGTGAGGACTGAGGAAGAAAGCAAAAAAATATTCCTTGCGTGGTCTCCTACCCCTTTGCACATCGACTGTGCATCGCTAGAAATACTCCCACTTGTTTACAACACCATATATAGACCATTTTCAGAACTTCAATGGAAAACCAACCAGATAAAAAAACTCAACAAAAATCCAGTGACGTCGTGTCATTGCATTATTTAAGCAGCAGGAGATCTTTGGGGTATTTCCAAATATATGGAATTTTAGCAATAAATTAACATAGCCTCCATGAGTAAGTCTTGATTTTCCAATTCAGTTTTTTCCCAAGAGTGAGAGGGGAATTTTCAGATACCAGATGAAAAGCAGTCTTTCCAAATCTGGATCACATGCAAATATTAAGCTCCATTAACCAGAACTCCTGCGTGTGCTAGAAACTGCAGGAGCAGTGCCTCCTTTTGGATGAGGAATTGGAGGTGCTTACAAACAGATTTTTTTTAAAACAAGCACATGGAATTTTTTGCCTTAAGACTAAAACATCCGAATGTCCCCAATAGCAGAGATCTTCAGGGATAATGGGAATGCTGCCCCCATGTTCCTCTGAAGCAGAATCGCAGTGGCCACCCCTCAGCACACGGTGGTGCTGAAGAAATGCCTTAATTCAGGATGTGCAGGACTTGGGAACACGGGATGAGCTTGGAGGGATGGCAGGGACTCACTCCCTGAGATTTCCAACACTGCTGCCCTGCTTCTCTCAAGCAAATACACAAACACAACAGGGGCATATCCAAAAATGCCCAAGCCTCCCCAGCCTGAGAAGACATTGCTGATCTCTTTCTTTAGCCTTTCAAAGCTGACTATCCCTTATCACAAAAAACAGAAAGAAAGAAGTCCTGTGACCTGAAGGAGAAAAAAATCCCTGTGAATCTTATTTTATGGAATGTCCTGTCCCAGCATGGGAAGGAAGGGACAGGAACGTGACGTCTTGAACCCTCCCTGCTTCGAGCATGTTGGCTTCAAGGAGGTTGTACTACACATCATGTGGTACAAAATGGAACCAAATTCCTTGAAAGAACTTAGAAGGTCAAGAAGGAGACTTGTTATAAAGCCAGGTACTCTGTTCTCCAAGACTGATGTTTTAAAACACATATGAGACAAGTAAATATAAAGTTGATACTGTGGGTGAGTAAAACAAAGGAGAGAGAAAGCTCTGCCTCCCAAGGCTAAGGACAGGCTCAGTGTAGGTTTATGCACAGCAAGCCTTGCATTCTGCCTGCTGCCAGGTACAGCTGGCTGCTGTTCTACCTCAGAACATGTATCCTGGCCCTAGGAAAAGCTGAAGTCAGAATTCCTGAGAAGCTTGGTAGCAACTATCTGGGCCCAACCCACCAGCTGAGCTTGAGCTCCCAACTTATGTTTAGACTGCAGACTGCAACTGGATGCCAGCAAGGCCTGGGCTTAACCTGACTCCAAGCCTGGCCTGAATCCTGGCACCAATTGAGGTGGGACCAAGTGAGACCAAGTGCCAGGTCTGAATTCAGGTTTGAATCTCAATCTCTTCCAATAATCCAAAACCGGACATTTTTTCCTTTGTGTACCAGACTGTGTAACCAAACTGCTCAGAAAATCTTTGCATGGAAGAATTTCACTGTAATTCTTTTACAACTGTATCACACAACTGGAAACCTCCATTCCTTTAGGCTGTACTTAAAAAGATTTATCCATTAATACAGTAATAGCTGTTATCAAAATTTCATCAATTACAGTGTCCCCTTGCAGCTTAGAAACAGAACTCCACTCTCTGTCACAACCTCTCCAGGCAGCTGCAGTGGTGGAATCACCATCCCTGCAAGTATTCAAAAAACATGTGGCACTTGGAAACATGGGTTAGTAGTGGTATTGGCAGTGCTGGGTTAATGGTTGGACTCAACGGTCTTAGAGGGCCTTTCCAAGGTAAATGATTCCATGATTATAAGTTTCTTCCCTGCAAATCTGCTCAGAACTAGCTTTCAGTCCAAGCATTTGCCATGTGTTACATTTGGAGCATCCTATTCAGGCTCACAGTTGTGAGAACAGGATTTCACCATAGTATCAGACTGAGCAGCAATCCCTCTAAACTTCTGTAAAGTGCCAAGGCTGCAGCACCACAGTCTCTTGGAGAGAAAATGGATTTAGAAATCGTATTTGCTGATGTTCCACAGTTGCAAAGGGACTTACAGCAAACAGACAGGAGGGAGTCCCCAGCTATGGAGCCATTAAAGAGAGCCCCACATCAGCCACAGAAAAGCTGGAAATCCACTGTTTCAGCTGTGATGAAACTGAAGCAGAGCTGAACTATCCCTGCTGCAAATGGGGAGGACATGAATGCCTCCCAGAAAACCTCCCAGCTCCATGAAGAGTTCTGAGGGAGCCTTTGGCCTTGTGATTTCCTGCTGGAGTGGAGTTCTAACAGGACCTCTTGCAGCAGCCTGTTTCCAATAGAACACTTTTGTATCACATTTCACACTGGGGTTGAGCAGTAGTCCTGCAATGCCTAAACAGCAATTACATTTCCAGACAAAACAAGCTGGGTGATGTCATATCACCTACCTGCTCCTGCAGATCCCAGAGAGCAGTGAAAGCAGGAATGTCAGCAGCATGCAGGCAGGCACCGAGGCCTGCTTCAGCAGCTCCACGATGATACTAGCCTCCACCCCATCCGACTGCCAGTGGGTCAGCTTGATGGGCCCCTCGTCGTACCTGTCCGTCATGAAGAGGACCTGGCTCCTGGCCACCGTGTCAAAGATGGCCGAGAGCTTTGAGGCGTCCTCTGCCCTCTGGCCAGCTGTGTCCAAAGGGGGGTGCAGATGGGAAAGCATCACCTTGCGCTGGTCATAGTATACCAAGATGATTTCTTCCTCCTGAGGGTTCTTAGAGTGTTTCTGAAGGATAGAACAGCTCCAGAATTTGCTGTCTCCCTCTTTGCTTATCTGGATCCATGGCTCATGGCAGAATATAGTCCCAAGGTCTTCCAAGAACTCACTGAGACTCTCTTCTTTCTCCTGTTTGCTATTGCTCCATGAGCCAAGCACAGAAACACTGACTTTTGTCACACGCTGAACTTCTCCAAGGTACTGCTTCACCTGGACAGGAATAAAGGGGAAGTGTACCACAGCAAGGACGACAGCAGAGTTCTGCTCGGAGATCCAGCGGCCGATCAAAATGCCGCTGTCTGCTGAGGAGCAGCACGATGGAAAGAACACCTTCAGTACCATGGCAGTGACCTGCAGGGACATACACCTGCCAATAAACACAAAAATAAAACTTGAGGATGGTGAGTAAACGTAAGGAAAATCTGAACTGGCCAAAGCTACCAGAGAGGAGAATTAAGCATGTTCGAAAACACAAAGCCCAACCACTTGAGTAATGACATTAGTGATGGCCAATAGCCATACACACATTCAGGAAGCTCCTGATGATCTGCAGCCTTTGAAGAGAGGGAAGGTGAGCCTGGAGTTTCCCAGTAAAGCCCTTCTCCCAGACCTAGAAAGGTCTTTCATGGTGGCACCCAGATAAGCACAGCCCATCAGACCAGCCAAGATCTGGCATTCACCCAGCCTTAGATCTTGAATCCCACGCTGGATGTGCTGGAGCACCTCCTAGAGAAGGGACTACATCACAGCTCACTGTGGTGCCTCTGGGGAGTATTTCCTGCTGCTACCAACAATCAAACACTGGTTCAAGCTATTCAGTCTCCTTTAGCACCTTACAACCCAGATCTCTGCAGCAAACTCACAGAGCAACCTTGATCCCATCACTCAGCTCCTCCTGCCTCACTTCTCTCATCTGGAAACTGAGACAATAATTTTGTCAGAAGAGACTATAGTGATTAATTGAAGTAGTTTTAATTCATTAGATTCAACAGCCTAAAAAATGAGAAGCACCTCTACTTTATCAGCACTCTTTATCTTTAGTGCTTTTCTCCCCATCATGAAGAACACATCTCAGTGGCCTTGGGAGACTTTTCCAGAAAGGAGCTTTGAGGCAGTTGACAGTGTCTCTTTAAATAAGGTGGAGGTTCCTAACAGGAATGTAATTGCAGTAAGGAGGGCGCTGGCGCAGAACAGGCAGCACCCGGCGCCCGCTGTCCTTTCCCGTCCTTGTCCTTCAGTGCTTTGTTAGGGATGTGAAACTCCACAGGGCCCCGAGGCTGCTCCTCTGCAAGGGACCAGTCAGTTGGAAAGGGAACACAGAGGGTATTTACAACACAGTGAGAGATGCGCAGCGGGAAGGGCCTGGTGGCTTTTTTCTCTCCCTTAGGAGAGGACAGCTGAGCCAGTAAAGCTCAGCACCTGGGAAGTTCCTACATGGAGGGATGGAGAAGCAGTTATAGGGAGTGATTAACCTCTGGGGTTAATCACTCACAGTGGGGTAATCTGGGGAGCTGCGGACTCCCCATCCCTGGCAGTGTCCAAGGCCAGGCTGGACGGGGCTTGGAGCAACCTGGGACAGTGGAAGGTCCCTGCCCATGGCAGGAACGGAACGAAATGGTCTGTAAGGTCCTTTCTATGTCAAACCATTCTATGATCTATGGCTCTTCTGAGATCCTGCTTCCTCACAGACTCCAGGTCTCTGAGGTTATCCCTCTGGTCACAGAGGGAAAATGAAGTCCATCTGTGGCCTCTAGATCTTGCTGGGGGTTGGAGGATCTCTGGAGCAATGAGGGCCAATGCTGGGTGCATTCAGAACCTGTAAACACTGTGCTTCCAGCACCAACTGCCAACAAAATTCCTCAGGAGAGGGAAGTCTTGGGATGTACTTTGCAGTTTTGCAGTAAAAGGGAAAATTCAGTCCAAGGAAAAACATCAAAGACAGCCCCATGATGTTTTCCCATCGAAACAGAAAGAGTTGTTGTGAGTATTGCTACAAGAGACTCTCAGTGTCTATGCACAGCTGTGCTTAAAGGTCTGTTCATCCACTGGACATTTCAGAGAGGAATTGTCAACTGACTCTTCATATACACACTTATTTTTCACTGAGATTGTTTTTAAAGATAGCCACAATCCTCTGGGAAAACTTCTCATGGAGCCTAAACACTTGTCATCCTTCTCTAGTTTGTGAGTTTTTCCTCTTACACCTTCCCCAACTTTTAAAATTAACATAGTTTTATGTACCCAACTACTCTGGCTATAGCTTGGGTCAAATGATCTGCCCTTTGGTTGCTTGAGCCATGGCAGAGAAGATTCTGATATGATTTTCAGGCTGCACAAAATATCTTGATAGTTGAAAACCTGGCTGATCAACTATTGTTATGTTAATGTTCTCATATTCCCAAATCCACGACTTGTCATGCATCTACCTCATTCATTTCAATAGACTGAAATATCAAATGTCATCACAGTCTGCTTCACTGCTGCTAATTTTAACAGAAAAATCTTGCCAATGTTCATGCAGTCCCTCTTCATCAAGTGCCTAAAATCTTTGAGATCCACCTATTTCTGCTGAAAACATCCACCTTTCCTTGAGAGCACCAATGCAATGACCTCAGGTAACCAAAACAAACAAAATAAATACCACCTAAAATGTGTTAATGCAACCAACAAATGAATACAGGACCCCAGGACTGATTGACTCCAGAGTTTTTGTTAGAAAAGCAAAGGTGAATGGTGGGATGTGTCCATGGTTTCACCCCAGAGACTGTCCTGTGGCCAAGGGGTGCCAAGGGGGACTGATCCCATAGCAGACTCACACATGAGCATCCCATGATCCTTGCAGGGGGGTTAGGACCAGGATATAAAGAATCATAGAACCGTGGAATTGTAAAGGTTGGAAAAGCCCTCTAAGACCACCAAGTCCAGTCATTGCCCAGCACCACCACCACTAAACCATGCCCTCAAGTGCCACATGCACATGGCTTTTTGAACACTTCCAGGCCGGGCATTCCATGACTGCCCCAGGCAGCCTGTGACAGTGCCTGAGCATGCTTTACGCAAAGAAATTTCCCTATCTATCCTATCTATATATAAATTAAACCTCTCCTGACACAATTTAAAGCCACTTCCCCTTGTGCTGTCCCTGTTCCCTGGGAGCAGAGACCATAGCACGGCCTCAGAGATGGCAGCGGGGACCCCCCTGGCTGTCCCCTCCTGTCAGGAGTTGTGCAGAGCCACAAGGTCCCCCCTGAGCCTCCTTTTCTCCAGGCTGAGCCCCTTCCCAGCTCCCTCAGCCCCTCCTGGTGCTCCTGACCCTTCCCTGGACACGTTCCAGCCCTCAGTGTCGTGAGGGGCCCGGTGCTGCCGCCGGCCCGGCGGGGGCTCCCCGGTGCCCGCGCAGGCCCCGCGCGCGGCCCAGCCCGCCCCGCTCCTACCGCCCGCCCCGCTCCTGCCGCCCGCTCCTACCGCCCGCCCCTGCCTCCCGTCCCGCTCCTACCGCCCGCTCCTACCGCCCGCTCCTACCTCCCGCCCCGCTCCTACCACCCGCTCCTACCGCCCGCCCCGCTCCTGCCGCCCGCTCCTACCGCCCGCTCCTACCTCCCGCCCCGCTCCGCCGCTTCCGCCCGCGGTTGCTCGGAGACGCCGCTGCCGCCGGGTCGTGCAGCCGGACGGGCCCGGCCGGCGCCGCCACCCGCCGCCCGCGTTCCGTGGTGCCCCGGCTCCCCGCTCCCGGCCTGTCGGGCCCCGCCGGCCCCGCTCCCGACAGCGCCGCTCCCCAGGCTCGACCCAGCGCCTCCCGCGGGCCCGAGGGCGGCGGGGCCGCCTGAGCCGCGCGATAAGGAGCGGCAGTGCCCCCCTGCCCTGCCACCGCCCCAGCCGGAGCGGGGCCGGGGCCTCGCTGTGCTCACGGGGCGCTGGTGGCGCCATCCCCACAGGCCAGGGGCTCACCTGTGCTCACAGGACCCCGCTGTCCTCTGTTCCCGAAATCGAGGGGCCCCGCTGTGCTCACAGGACCCCGCTGTCCTCTGTTCCCAAAATCGAGGGGCCCCGCTGTTCTCACAGGACCCTGCTGTCGCTCATCCCACAGGCCAGGCACCTTTCCATGTAGGAGCCCGTTGTCCCTCATCCCCAAAGTCTAAGGACTCACCGTTCCTCAGGGAACCCTGTTGTCCCCCATCCCACTGGTGAGGGACTCGCCTATGCTGATGGGACACTCTTGACCCCCATCTTGACTGCCTCAGTGGATGCCTGGCCCAGCAGAGACCCAGGGTGCCCACAGGTGCCCAAGAGCTTTGTCCTGTGATCCGGCAGTGGGCTTGGGCCAGTGAGCCTGGGAAGATGCTGGGCAGCATGAAAAGGTCCCACACGGAAAGAGAGAGCAGGTGCAGAAGTCGGGGTAGGCTAGATAAAAGATTTTGGGTTTTAGTTTTATTGTTGGATGCCACAGAATTGGAAATAAGATAGGGGAGATTAGGTCTTGTGGGAGGGAGCTCAGCTTCCTGCAATGGGAGAGGCTGATCCCCCCGTTTCTGCAGACCATGCAGCCCCACTCCCTGCTGCTTGCCTCACTCTGCAGGGAGAGGGGTCCTGGAGAACCTCACAGCGTGTCTGTTGTGTCCAGTGCCTGTCCCAGGGCCAGGAGGGAGCAAGGCCCTCTCCAGGGATCATTTGGGATCAAAGACGACGGTGACTTGGGTCTGGGACATCAGCAGAGACAGATCAGTCATTAAGCTCCATGCCCACACCGAGGGCTGGAGCAGGGAGAGGAAAACGCCCATCCCGGCGCCGGCACACCCTGCCCGCCTTCCCCTGGCCCCTGCTGATAAAGGCAGCAAGATGTGCTGAGCCCTCCTCTCCAGAGGACAACAGGATGGTGTCTGCCCCAGGATGTGAGGCAGTCTGAGGAGTTCCACGATTCCTATGGAATTTACTCCATGTAGTGGTTGTTGCTTCCCTGTAGAGGTCAGGAATGCAGCACAGAAGGAGTTACCTTCATCTTACCCTTTTCCTGAAGTCTGCTGCAGACCCAGTGTGCTGTTCTCTGATTGCAAAACCAACCCTAATAGCTTGGGAATGAATTAGGACAGACCAGTTGACTCAATCATGCCAGGCTGGAAAGGGCTTGGAGAAGCATGATCTAGTGGAAGGTGTCCCTAGTCATGGCAGGGTGTAGATCTAGGTGATCTTTAAGGACCCAATCCCAACTATTGTGTGATTCCATGATTCTGGGATGGAGCATGGACTTCTAGCATGGCCTTACCTCTCTGGTCATGATCTGGCATCAGGAAGATGGGACCATGGCACATCAAAATCGCATGGAGAAAAGAGCTTTATATCAGCTTTGGAAAACACTTGAGGAGTCAAGGATGTGGTGATAACAAGTTTGCCAAGGCACCAGTTCAAGTCCAGTTCTGAGTAGCTGGGTCATCCTTTACACACTCTGGTGCGTCCAGAGCTAGTCTAGTCCTGGAGAAGCTGGGGGCCTTTAGGCAGTCAGGTCTGGGGCAATGTCCCATCCCTAGAAATGTCCAAGGCCAGGCTGGATAGGGTTTGAAGCAACCTGGGATAGTGGAAGGTGTGTCTGCCATGAAATGGTCTTTACGGTCCCTCCCAACCCAAACTGTTCCATGATTCCATTACAGGAATCTTTGAGAGCAGTGGAGCTCTCAGCACCCCAGCAGATGCACAGCTCAGTGGGGCTGCAGGGAAACCATCCCCCCTCCCCACCTGTGTGTTTGGTTGAGGTCAGCACATGATGTCCCAGCATTGGTGGGTCTGTACCGGGGTCTCACACAGTACTTAAAGACTTTGACACAGTTCTCCGCTGTGTCTGCCACAAAGAGGTGCCCAGAGGAGGAGCAAGCCATGCCAGCAGGCCTCCGCAGCCCTGTGGACACCAGGCAGATGGGAGCTCCATGCTCAGGGAACAAGTGGACTGTACGGCGCTGCTCATCTGCCACCAGGATGCTGCCGTCCTTATCCACGCAGACCCCAGCAGGGTTGCCAAACTGGTGTCCATATTTGCTGCTGAGGGAGCAGAGGAGCTTACAGCTGCTCATGAAGACCTTGACGTCTCCACACTCTTCACTCACCACAAAGCCTCCACCGGGCACTGGACTGATGTAACGAGGTCCCTGCAGATTTGGGACAGAGTGGACATTGAGTGTCCTGAAGGTATGGTCCAGAGCAAAGCTGTGCACTTGACCTTGTGCATAGTCTGCTATCAGGATCTTGCCCATGGAATCTACTCCAATACCCCTGGGGGAACCAACCTTCCTGATCTTTATCCATTCCCTCTTGGAGAGGTTGGTGTGAGGGTTGAAGACCCAGATGGCTTCATTCACCATGTCAGCTACAGCCACCATTCCCATCCTAGTCACAGTCACATCTTCTGGCAAGAAAACGCTGCCTCCCTTGCCTGTTTGTTGGCAGGGCAAGGACTGCAGCGTGTGGCCTGTGCTGCTGAGCACGTGGACCCAGGGAGCACTCTCAGCTGTCACGTAGATGGAGCCATCCAGGGAGCAATGGATTCCACTGACACCCCCATAGCGGCTGCCGGTGGGATTGGGAATCTGTCGGACCAAGTCATCCTGGCAATAGTGGAGGAGGTTCTTGATGTTGTCCAGATCTCCACACAGGCTTTTGGCCTTATCTGCCAGCTGGTGGACCTGGTGCTGGGTCACCATGCCTATGCCACTCTGGCTGTGCAGCACTGGGCTGGCTGACTGCAGTGTGGTAAATGACTTCACCTGGAGGCTGTAGATGGTTTTCAGAAGCTTCTGTTTTAACTGGCTGGTCTCCAGCGTGTAGTCCATGACAAATCTCTTGTCCCTGTTTGGGGGAAGCAGTTAGGACCGTGACTGTCCCTGCCTGCTGCCATCTCTGAGGCCATGCTATGGTGTTGCTATCTGCCCAGGGTGTAGGTGTTGGTGCTATTCTGGATTCACTTCATGCCAGAGAGACCACGTCACTTTATTGCCAGCTAATTATGAAATAAAGACAAACAAGGACCATGGCGTAGAAATTAAAGGGTCAGCAAACTGGACCTACATCTGGAGGAACAACCTGAAAAGGTCCAACAGCTCCAACAGCTCAACTGGTGTCAGACGTGGCCTGAAGATTTATGTGTAAAGGTGAGCCCTGTGTGTGAACTTATTGAATGGGACCTCAGACTCCCCAGTTCCTGAGATAATGACTTCTTTCAGGTCTTTAACACTTGTTACCCCTGTTTTCTGTGAGCCTCATCTCTCCAAACCAAGCTAAATCCATGATTACACTTGAGTCACTCAGGGTGATCATTCCCTGACTCCCACATGTCAGATGTCAAATGTGGCCAGGGCATGTCTTCGCTCAGGGCAGCCCCTTTCCCATCCAAATAGTTTCATAGAATCACAGAATATCCTGAGCGAGAAGGGACACATCAGGATCATCCGGTCCAGCTCATAGCCCTGCACAGACACCCCAACAATCCCACCCTGGGCATCCCTGAGATCATTGTCCAAACACTCCTGGAGCTCTGGCAGCCTTGGGGCGGTGCCCATTCCCTGGGGAGTCTGGGCAGTGCCCAGCATTCTGGAGGAAGAACCTGAAGGAAGAACCTCCTCCTGCTGCTGGAGACACAAGGCGTAACCAGCGCGTTATGGAGAGAGAACCTTTCCTGATATCCAACTTAAACCTCCCCTGACACAGCTCCACCATTCCCTGGGTCCTGTCCCTGTCACAGAGAACAGAGGTTAGCACCTGCTGATCAAGTAATTTCTGAAGTAGCCAACAATTTATCAGGAAGAAAAGGGGAGATTCTGCTCTGAAACATGCATTCAATCTTTACCATTTTTTTCAGACAAGAGAGCCACGGTAAGAACCTAAATTTTTCTTTTGCACACTCTCCCTCAGTCTTAAAATTAGGCAGTGATGGGAGCCCAGCTTTGCTATGTTCTCCCCAGGCCTGGCTGGAGCATGGCTTACAGCACACAGCCAGGAGCTGGCAAGTGAAATGTTAAGAGACATATGACCTCATTAAAGCTCCTGGAGAGGCATAGCTTTACTTTGCTTTAAATGCGATTATAATTAAAATTATAATGGGCACACTTGACTGTTTTGTTGTTTGCAAGCCATCACTCACTCCACTTTTATTGCACCATGTCCTATGATTGCCTGGATCATGTGCCTTATGCTGCTCACAAAAGTGACATTTCCCCAGACCACAGCTGAAGAAAGCTAAGGCGTACGGTGCCAAATGGTCCTTCTCATGTGCAAATACTTCAACTATCTAAAAGCCATCCCTGAATAATTGCAGAGTTACCAAATGCAAATATGCAATGGTGGGGATGAGAGAATACAGATGGAAATCCAATTTTTGCCGTCTTGGGGCCTGGGAACAGCTTTTTCTTCCCCATGCTGGATATGCCTTGTGTCTCCAGCAGCAGAGATCTGCTTGGTGGAAACAAGCCCTCCATATCACTGGACTGCTTGTCAGGGTCCTCCTTCAGAGCTGGACAAAGTCCTCAATCCAAGAAGCTGGATTTTACAGATGGGGAAACTGAGTCACTGCTGGGGAGATGATGTGCCATCTGCCACACACCCCTCCTCAGGAGCATCCACCTTGATGGTGTGTCCTGAGCCTAGTTTGAACTACTTTGGGGTCCAAACCCAAGAAGAGGGCTCTGACACTGTCCCCTACACAGCTCAGGCCAACCACCTGTGGAGACAAGCTCAGCAGCACAGATCCTGTACCTTAGTTCTGCTGTCCTGGGGGCTGCCTGTCCTTCCTGGCAGTGCTGGCCTCCCACCGGCTCTGTCCTGCTCCCTCGCCGGGCTCAGGGCGGTGGGACCAAGGGATTTTGTGTTGTTAGTGACGGGCAATTGCCCTGAAGTCTGGGTAAACACAAGGACTCCTTGTGCTGACAACCAGAAGCAGCAAGACAAGGGCTGTTCTGCGTGGCTTTTCCTCCCTGCTGCTCTCCTGCCCAGAGACAAGGTGCCTTTCTCCAAGGATCAGTCTGTGTCCCACCTGCCTGCTCCTGCCTGAGGGAGGTACCCAGCTGCCCCGGGGGATTTGGGGCTTTTATGTAGAGGCAAAAGGGCTGATTTGCTGCTCCTCACCCTTGGCAGCTGCTGGGGTGGGATAGGGATGCTCACACAGTGAATCAGGGCTCCTCATTGCTTCACCACTGCGTCCCTGGGGACAGTGCCACTGTGTGCCTCAGTTTCCCAACTTACAAAAAAGAGACTGGTGAATTTTGCCATGTCAGGTTTGAGGTGCAGTGACAGAGAAGCGTTTCTAGAAGAGGCAGATCAGCCTCAGACTGCTGGAACAGCCCCCTTTTCCCATCTCCACACTGTTCAACCCAGGCTTTCCACAACTGCACAAAACCATGCTTGGAGTTGATGGTGGTATTTATTAGTTCTGCCCCAACAAAGAGGGTCAGGAGTAAAAGCAGAGTTAGCAAGGAGCAGCCTACAAGGGGCTGCTCAGAGCCTGCCCTCCCTCCCTGGCAGTGATTCCTGACAGTGCTTCCTGAGAGTCCCCTCCCCACCTTTTCCCACAGTGAGATCAAACACCCACCTTAAACTTGGCCAAGTCGTGAAGAAGTTTGTGTCTGTTCATTATTCAGACAGGCTAAACGTGAGCAAAGTTTTGGTCAGACTCAGCCACGTTTTGGGATTCTTGGAGGAGCTGCAAGTGCCTCCCTTAGGACAAGGAAGCAGGTTGGGTCCGTCTGGTTGCAGGAGTTGTGGGATGGGGATCTGCCTCCAACGTCTCAGGGCTGGGTGCTTTTCTCAGCAGGTGTTTAGGGCCCTTCTGGTCCTGGATCAATTTACCCTTGAAGCTCACACTGCCTGCCTCAGACCTATTACCAGCCAAAATTACAAAACTAACTTGACATGACAAGCACTGGGGATGCTCCATCCGAGCCCCAGCAGGATGGGAGGCAGCTTCAAAAACCATCTCCCAGGGCAACAGGGTCTGACCTTTTGTTTTGCTGTTGTGTGCTCCATCACCAGGATAAACAAACACAGCCTGGCCCTGGGGCTCCCGTTCACCTTTCCAGGACCGGGGTTCTGTCACAACCAGTTGGGAAGCCACCCCGGACCCCAGGAGAGGTCTGTGTCATGGCAGAGCCTGGCACAGCCCTTGCCCATGCCAGCACCGGGAGCTGCAGGAGTCAAGGACGTGGGCATGGTCAGCCTGCTGCTGCCAGAGATGGACCAAGGGAAAGAGAGGTCGTGTTCAGTTCAGGCTTTCCTGGAGCACATTCCTTGCAGGTATAAGTGCCAAACTTCACCTCTTGTGGCTTTTCCTCCCCTGGTGCAGAGGCAGGTTGTGTGTCCACGAGGAACATACAAGCCCTGGCAACCTGCCAGTCCCAGTGCCTAGGGAGACAGGCACGGTGCCTGCCTGGCACACTACAAGTGTGCAGGGAGCCAGCTGGAGATCCCACAGGACTGTCAAGGCCATTGCTACCAAGTCACAGACTTGTGGGAAAACAACCCAAACCCATCCACTGAGAATATTTCCCCACCTAGAGCACAGCCCTGTGACTGGTGAGAGTGTAGGGGGACAGTGTCAGCCCAGTGTCACTTGTGGAGAAGGCAAATCGTCCCTGCAGGACACCAGAGCCCTCCAGCCCTGAGGATCCCAGAGTCCCCAGCCTGCTCCACGCCCCTGTCAGCACAGGAAGGTTGTGGCCGGGGGCTGTGGTGGTTTGCTGGGACTGAAGTTTTGAAGGGACGATGGGGGCGAGCTGGCAGCGGGCTGGCCACTGTTATGAGCAAAACAGCCTGGCTGGGACACTTGGCTTGGGCTAAGTACTGACATTGAAATGTTAATTAGCTAATTGTTCCTGGGAATCACCTACCTCCCCCCACCCTCACTACCATTCTAGGACTGGGATGCAAAATAATCCAGTGGAATCATGGGAGGGGGTTTTGGGGATGAAAAACACCCCAAAATGGAAAACATGGGCACAGTGGAGGGGGCTGGATGGGTGTGCTGGTTGGGGAAAAGGGAACCCCATCCCTAGTCTGTGTTTGACCTGTCACCATACCCTGCAGAGTACCAGACTGGACTGGGCTGTGGGAAGCAGGAGCAAAGGACACACACTTCACGGGGTTATCAAGCGGGAAGGAGAGGGACAGCTGCTGCTGGGCATTGGTAGCAGGCTCTGCACACCCTTCCCTACCAGTGTGCCAGGGGGAAAGGAGAGAGGATGGTCTGCTGGGACTTCAGATACGGACTGCACACCTCTTCACCTCCAGCTACCAGCGTGCCAATGAGACTCCAGGGACAGACTCTGCAGCCTTCTCACCCTTCGGCTACCTGGAAAAAGCTACAACAGCGGGGGCGAGCTCCCTGTCCAGCCCCCTGCCGAACTGACTTTTTAATAAAGAGCTGACTATTAATAAAGGCACAGACCCTGTGCATTTCAGCCACGGGCTGGTCATTGCTGTGTGCGGACACCAGGCGGCCCCGGCTGTCCGAGCAGC